TACCAGGAGTAGTGGGAAGGAAGGTATATTTATGATACCAGGAGTAGTGAGAAGGAAGGTAAATTTAGGTTACCAGGAGTATTGAGAAGGAAGGTATATTTATGGTGTCAGGAGTAGTGAGAAGGAAGGTATATTTATGATACCAGGAGTAGTGAGAAGGAAAGTATATTTATGTTACCAGGAGTAGTGAGAAGGAAGGTATATTTATGATACCAGGAGTAGTGAGAAGGAAGGTGTATTTATGATACCAGGAGTAGTGACCAGGAAGGTTTATTTATGATGACAGGAGTATTGAGAAGGAAGTTTATTTTCTTTTTATAGATTGATTGATTGAGTTTAAGATCAGGTGTAAATATCATATTACATTTTTCAAGTTTAAGTCTAAGAGGCGAGGGGAGCTGAAGGAAGAAAGGAGAATTTTATTAGAAATAAAAAAAAACAATTACAGAAGAAACACTTTGCTACAAGAGAAGCATTATGACGAAATAAATCAAATCAAATCACAGTTGTTTGTAGGATCTAGAGATGGATTTAAAGTACTTTTTTAGGTTCAGATTCTTTTAAAATACATATGAATGATTTTAGAATGTGAGATAATGCATATTGTGGATAAAAGTCTATTAAAAGTTATATCACACTAAATTAAGCTAGTGGGGTAGGTTAAAAAAGATCTATGCTAAGCCAGGCACTGTAAAAAAGGTCTATGCTAGGTCGGGTACTGTAAAAAAGGTCTATGCTAGGCCGGGTACTGTAAAAAAGGTCTATGCTAGGCCGGGTACTGTAAAAAAGGTCTATGCTAGGCCCGGTACTGTAAAAAAGGTCTATGCTAGGCCGGGTACTGTAAAAAAAGTCTATGCTAGGCCAGGTACTGTAAAAAAGGTCTATGCTAGGCCGGGTACTGTAAAAAAGGTCTATGCTAGGCCGGGTACTGTAAAAAAAAGTCTATGCTAGGCCGGGTACTGTAAAAAAGTCTATGCTAGGCTGGGTACTGTAAAAAAAGTATGCTGGGCCGGGTACTGTAAAAAAAGGTCTATGCTAGGCCGGGTACTGTAAAAAAGGTCTATGCTAGGCCGGGTACTGTAAAAAAGGTCTATGCTAGGCCGGGTACTGTAAAAAAAGTCTGACAGCATCAACAAAGTTGAAACTTAGCCGGCATAGGATCGGGTCGGGTCGGTACTTTACTCGTGTCAGTAAAGCCTGTACAAGGGGTCGGGTCGGTACTTTACTCTTGTCAGTAAGGCCTGTACAAGGGGTCGGTTCGGTACAAATACAAATTGACCAATTAGTAAACTTGAGACGAAGATGATTTTTGTGAACACTACAAATTCGTGTTTACAGAAATTAACAATAATTTAATTACTGAAAGAAACTGTTAGCGTAATTTCAAGTGACCCTCCATGTAAAGATGTCCGATTCACAACGGTATCTTAATGTTGTCTTGCAGTAGAAATGCGCAAGTCATTTTTGTAGACAACCATAATAATAAATATCAGTTTTTTTTTAAATCATAAAATTTGATATCTAATTAAATTTGATCAGTCAAATCGGGCATTGCCATCGTTACGCTTACATTCCCTTTAAAGAAGCTGTCAACGTAATTTGATTCACGATTCACAACGATACCCGTTAAACCGTTGTCGAATAAAGAAATGAGGGATTCCTTGAGGAATTGAGTTTTCGCCATACGCTAAAATTTTATATTCCCCATATTTTTGCAATTTGATTTTTAAAACTTTCATTTTTTTCATAACAGAATCTACAGTTTGAAATACAAGAGGTCTCTGACATTAGGTTGCAAATATACAGGAATTAAATAATAAGAGTTTGTTGCAAGAACTCAGTTCCTTTATCATAAACATTTAGGAGGGTAAAATAAGGAAGGAAGCATTGAAAAGTAAAGAAAAATATGAAAGGAAATGCAAATTCTAAATAATTCTAAAAGAATAAAGTAGAGAGGAAGTATGGCTAATAAAACATGACGGAGAAATCTTTAAGTATTTAACAAGCATAGCGCACTTTGTGAAGTGTGAAGAAGATAATCTGATTACGCGCATTCACGCACACTGCTCTCATAAAGGGAGATAACGTGCGTGGAGAGCGCGTCTAAATGGTTTGAACACGATTTGGTTTAAATGAAAAGCGAGAAAAATATGAATTAAAATGAAAACCAATTAACTTAAAAAGTAAAAATGTAATTTGATATTTTTTGTGTTCAGTGGGTTTAATGATTATGTTGATATCTTTAAATCAATTATAACTTATAACGCAAGTCTATTGATTGGTTTTTCTTATTTTTTTGCTTTTCTACAAATCAATGTTCACCTTTTCTTTATATTTAGATACATAATACATTCATACTAAGAAATTCACTGATCACTCCCTTTATCTTCAAACATTATATCTTTGTAACTTGCTTGATCGTGTAAACCTTGATATTTATAACTATTGGGTTAAATAGTCATCGTTTGAACCATCACTGGTCTGCGGCATCGAGTTGCAAGAATATAAAGATTCAAAAATTAGAGTTTAGGGGGATCTTTAATAAACTTCTTTCTTAAACTACAAGGTTATCATTTTCTTTTTAAAACTAAAAGTTGTCATTGTTTAAAAAACTGATCTTTGCATCACCCTGATGCCCACAATAATTCTAAAATACAGTGAGACCATTAAATTGTGGAATAGACGGCTGTGAAGACCCATTTTACTAATCTAATAGATTTTTTGTTATAAGTTATAACGAGTAAAATTTTTTTTTATAACAACATCAAATACAAAGTAGATTGCCATTTTAATGTCATCCTACTATTCCACAAATGTATGTGGCTCACTGCATACTTATTACTTGTATTTCTGTAGATAATATAAGGATGGGGTTGGGGTTGGGGTGTGGTAAGAGGACTATTAGAAGATTAACGAGCTTCTAGAGGATTGATTTTGGCAGTGTTCAAGCTTTCGAGGATTAGAAATTCGGAGAAGAACATTGTGGACTAATTATCTAAATTATTTAATTGGTTTCCTGGTACTAATTAAACAATCTGCTTGTCATTAACAGTAGTTCGCGCAATTTCTTTTAATAGAAATTTATAAAAGAATAAATTGTTTTAAAAATCATCTTAAATGTATATTAACTATATAAATATCAAGAAAACTATATAAATATCAAGAAAATTATATAAATATCAAGAAAACTATATAAATATCAAGAAAACTATATAAATATCAAGTAAACTATATGAATATCAAGAAAACCATATATATATCACAGTAAAATAAGTTTACAAGTAATTAAAGAGAACTTTTTTAATTGATAAATTCTCTTGACTTATCCATGCTTTATTAATATCAAAATTGAACTCGAAAGTCGTCTTCATTGTATTTTTATAATCGCCTGCCTCTGTAGTCAACGCTGAACTTTCGTTAACAACGTACGAGGTCACAAAGTCGTTCTAGTAATGTCGCATAAATTCAAAATTCAGATTGAAAAGTACCGTTTGGGTGACAATTTACCCTGACTGAGATTTTGCCAAAACTCTGATGTTCCATTTCCATATATCATCGTAACCTAATGTCGAGTGACCTTGGATATTTCAAAGAAATGCAGATGGAAAAAATTATTTTGTGACAAAGACTCAATTTTAAGTATTTTAAGTTCCCTTTAGACAAATAACCCTTTTGTTCGACAAATTACCCAGTAGGTTGACTAATTACCCAGTAGGTTGACTAATTACCCAGTAGGCTGACTAATTACCCAGTAGGTTGACTAATTACCCAGTAGGTTGACTAATTACCCAGTAGGTTGACTAATCACCCAGTAGGTTGACTATCTACCCAGTAGGTTGACTAATTACCCAGTAGGTTGAAAAATTACCCAGTAGGTTGACTAATTACCCAGTAGGTTAACTAATTAACCAGTAGGTTGACTAATTACCCAGTATGTTGACTAATTACCCAGTAGGTTGACTAATTACCCAGTAGGTTGACTAATTTCCCAGTAGGTTGACTAATTACCCAGTAGGTTGACAAATTACCCAGTAGGTTGACTAATTACCCAGTAGGTTGACTAATTACCCAGTAGGTTGACTAATTACCCAGTAGGTTGACTAATTAACCAGTAGGTTGACTAATTAACCAGTAGGTTGACTAATTACCCAGAAGGTTGACTAATTAACCAGTAGGTTGACTTATTACCCAGTAGGTTGACTAATTACCCAGTAGGTTGACTAATTACCCAGTAGGTTAACTAATTACCCAGTAGGTTGAAAAATTACCCAGTAGGTTGACTAATTACCCAGTAGGTTGACTAATTAACCAGTAGGTTGACTAATTACCTGATAATTAGCCTAATATCTATGAGTTAACTCTCTGTCTGCCAGTATTTTATGATTGCATGCTAGTGAGTAAAGAGGTTTTCTACCATGGAGAGAAAAGTTGGAATATTTTGCAGTTTGAGTTTAATTAGTTCCTCGGTTTCACCGATTTAACTGATACTGTCGGATGTAAGATCAGTCTAGTCTAGTAGTGATCCATGTTTAGATGTCTGTCTGTGTGTGTGTCTGTTTGTTTTTATGTCCGATCATAACTAAGGATTCCCTTTTCCAATTTGCCTTTGATTGGGGAACTTTGCGCGCAACAAAGGAAAGCTCTTAGCATGGTTGAAATCACTATGTTAAGTGGGTTGAATTTTAAGCAAATCTGGGTTCCATGCTCGTTTTACAAATCAGGGATGCTTTAATGAGACGGGGTGGCGACAGTAACTTTCCCCACCATCATTGGTTAATTTTGAGGAGGGGGGCGGGGGCACTCTTTCAACGAATTAAGACTGTCGTTTGCAAAAACTTTCTCACAAATAATTTTCATGTACTGAATCGTTTATGTGGGTTGAACATTGTGCTATAACCTTTTAGTTTGACTGTTTGAAATGAGAAGTTCCCTGAGATTTTTACATATTTTGATTTTAAACACTTTTTATCTATACTAAAGTTTAAGCTGTAAATCTGTAGAGCTATGATGGAATGTGAACATGAACCTGAACCTGAATCCTAAACTGGGTCTGCACAACCTAAACAGGAACCCTGCATCTGAACAGGATGCTTCTCTCCTGCTGTTTCAAGGAGCAGAGATCAAGGAAAGGAAGCAAGAAGTATGATGAGGGAAGCAGGAAGAATGATAACGAAAGCAGGAAGAACAAGGATGATGAAGAGTGGGGAATACGTCCACAGGTAAAAATTTAAATCATTATCTTTTACAGGGGTCCACAGAATAATGTGGTAGCAAAGAAAAGCCTAAAATATTCCGATATCTGTTTATTATTATTATTAAAATGCATCTACATTTTTTTCTTTTAATGTTTGTTAAATTTTTTTAAACTGTATACTAGGAAAAAAATGTATCATGCATTCCACATTATTTTCGGTTTAATATAATAAAAAAGTATTCAATAGGCAATAATTCTGCCAAACCTAAAACCACAACTTACCTGAAAACAAATTAACATGATTAAACAAAAAATACTGATAACAACAAAATTCTGGAAGGAAAAAATGCAAACTAAGAGTTGACAATATTAAATCATATGGGGTGGGGGGGCAGCACATCCCGATCTCCCCCTTCTAGAATAAACATGAGACTAAAAGTATAGAAGGGAAATTTAATATTTGCTTATTAAACCAAACGTCTTACTAAAGAGGGTTAAGATTAAAAAACCAGATTCAGAGGAAATATTTAGAACTGAGAAGAGAGTTTAAAACTAGTTCAATGATAAGATTATAAATGGAAAATTTGAACATTTAAAGGGACGGAAGACGACATTTCAAGTGACCCTCCACTTATAGAGGGCAATGTCCTATTCACAAAGGTACCAATAAATAGTATTGTAAAAAATGGATTATTTTCAATTGTGGTTTTCTCTGTTAAAGGGACTTGCGAATTTATTGCAGCAGAGACGATTAAAGGAAATTATTAGAAATCAACACTTCTCGGGAAGATATCTTTCCTCATTGTTACTCAGAATATTGTTTAGAGGATACTGTTGTGAATAAGACATGCCACGTATGGGTCACTTACAAATACCAGAGATTAGAAAATCAGAGTTTGTGTCAAAAAATCTTTATCTTTGAATTTTGTTTAAAATATAAAAATGTCAGAGGTAAAGATATCCCCTGTTTAGAGCCTGTTCACTTCTAGAGTTGTTCTAGAGCTGTCTTAATCTTGAACTTTGGCCTTGTCCCCCCTGAACTTTACTCTCCTTTTCATTTATCTGTCAATTTGATTTCCGTCTTCAACCAACTTTATCAAAAAGAATTTAACACTCCACAAATTGTGATATTTTAATCCCTTTATCTTTGCAACCTGATGACCTTAGATGGTATAAATTATGCATTTTTTCCAAAGAGAATAGAATATATATTAGAGGGGAACTTAGAGAATCTCTCGGTATGAATTTTTTCAGTCCCTTTGAGCCTGAAATGGAGTTCAAAGTGTACAAATCATGTAAATGTTCACAAATTATATGCAGTAGAGTACATTAATACAGTATCTTCCCTAGACTATCCATTTCAATTTAGAATTTTTTAAAGCTGTTAAATAAACTTACAATGATTTAGGTGACTAAAAAACATCATTTGATTTTTAGTTATAACGAAAAATCATCGTTTGTAAAATAAAATGCATAGAGTCTATGTGAAATAATCATTGGTCAATTATAAACCAGCCTATTTCATAATTTGGTCTTCTTTTCTATAAAATGATATTCCGGGGCCAAAAAGGTTATATAGCATAAATATGTGAAGTATACCTGCAGTATGGAAACAGTACAACAAAATGGCCGTTTTACACTTTTTTCTAGTAAATTCCCCTCTAATATATATTTTATTCTCTTTGATTGTGTCTGATCTAAAAGTCAAAGTTTGAAATATTAAAGGTTTACTTCATTATGTTGCAAGGATACCTTGATAAGAAAAATAGAGTTTGCAGTTTCTTTACATATTTTTTATGCTTTTTTTCTTCGCATTTTGTATTGTAATTGTAAAGCCCTTTTTCTTTCTTTTAAAGTAAAAATATCCAATAATACAGTTGATGCCTCATAAGTTTTTTAATATAAACTTTTATTTTAAACGTAATTGTAAACTTTAAAATTTTTCTTTTCAAACCAAACTAAACTCAATGCCACCGCTATTTGTGGAATTCAAAAGAAACATTTTTGAAAATCTTTAAACTTATTTTCCGATAAAACATTATAAAGTTAACATTTCATAGAATGCCAAAATGTGTTCTAATTTTCGTGTCATAAATTTTTTTCGATCCTTTTTTATGAAATTTGAATGATGAAATATTAGATTTTAAATTAATAATTTAATTTTGAGTTTGTTCTGTAAATATTAATTCTTGTTTCATATTCCCTATATCAAACTTTCCAAAGCATTGATATTACTTGCCATAAAGCCAATTTTTCCCTTTTAAAGGGAGTGTTCGCGAAAATAAAAATTTATACCACATGGTGAAAGCCCCGCTTTGCGATCACTCACTTTATGATTATGATCAGCTAATAGAGTTCATGTCAGTTCCTATCATATACAATTGTTTTCTTTTTGGAAATAAGTTGGTGCTTTTGAAAGTTTCTTAAAGTCATCGATTCCACAAAACTTTTGACTCACCCAAACTTATCATGTTTTACTTGGAACTCATAATTTTCCCTGTTTTCCATGCGCATTCCTCTCATTTTCCCCCCTTCACTGCTAGTCAACATATCCCCCCTATACCCCCTTTATGTACTCCTGAAGTGAAAAAGTTCTTAGTTTATACTTGAATAAACAAATGTACAGTCACATGACTAAATATATACAACTCCGGGTTAGCTAACCTTTTAGTTTTCTGGACTTTGGGATGAGAGGATTTGTGTGCTCTCAACTCAGAGAAAGGCGAGCGTGCCTTCCAAGAACGTTTTGCTTTGCATCTTCATAGTGTGAGTTAGAGGAAGGGATTGATGGGAGGGAGGGAGGGAATAGGAAGGGATAAGTAAGGGAAGGGAATCAGGGGGAGGGGGGGGCAGAGAGGGAGGAAAAATTAGGGGTATAAAGGGAAGGAAAGTGAGGGTGAAAGGATGGATAAAAAATAAAGGGAAAGGGAATGAGGGAAATAGATGGAAAAGGGAGGGTAGGGTAAAAAAAAAGGTTGATGGAAAGGAGGGGTAAGGAGGGGAAGGGAAGTGAGAGAAGGTATATAAAATTAGGGGTATGAAAAGATAAGGAAGTGGGGAAAATATGGAAAATTAGGGGGTAGCAATGGGACGGGGTAGCAAAATGTACAAATATCATTGTCAGGAAATGGAAGAAAAGAAAGATAGGAAAAAAAGGGATGGAAAGAAACTGGACTTGAGGGGAAAGGAGAGAAAGGAATTAGAATATAAAGAACTTGAGAAGTACGGTAGAGGGGAGATTTACTATACAGACTTTAACTGGAATTTACCGAAGTTTTGTTTTAGAAAGCCAGAAATATTTTTTATGTTAACTCATGTGTAAACCTTTAAATGAGTAAGGGGTCGTAAAATGTTTAAATAATTGCCTGTAAACGTTATAATGCAAAAATTCATGAGCATTGAACTTAAAAAAACACCACATTTAACTTTACATTTTTCTTTATAAATTGATTTTTCATTTTTCAATTTTTCTTTTGAATGAATTTTATTGAGTACTGAGTGTAGGTTCAGTTTTGATAAGGTTTAGATATGCAGTTGAAGGTTATAGTTCTACACAGTATGAGGCGTCCTTCCTTCTTCTTAATTAAACCTTGTGTAAGAAACTTTGTTGATTGTTTTCCACTTTTTCTTGGATAATTAAGTTAACTTACTTTAGCCTGGAATATAAAGTTGATTTTGTGTACACATTGCTTTGAAATAATATTGTAAAGCTGAAATAATTATATTTCTCTTGGGGGTTTCCAACTGTACAAATTCAACAGAATTTGACATGAATTGTGAAATTTTTACAACCTTACTGCAAATTATTTCTTGTTTTCTGAAATAAAAAGCTTATTACAAATTGATCTATTTTGAAAGTTTCCATAGAAGTCTGAAAGTGAGAGATGGGGTGGGGGGAAGGGCTGAATAGTAAACGAAAAGACTTAAGTCCTATTTTTTTTTGCAGGTTGTTTGAATGCAATATTTTTTCAAAGGCTTCCTAGAAGTTCAAAAGAAAAATCTGGAATATCGGATTTATATAAAAATAAACCTCATAAGAATTTTTATCCATGATTCATCTTGTTCCTAGAATATATAAATTTGAATTCAGCTTTCTGTATTCTGTATTCTATATTCTCTGACCGCAACTAATGAAGCAGAGATACATAAATTCTCACACTTCCTTTAGATTCATCTCGTAAAAATTTCCTTTAAGATGAACTCACTCAAGCCATAATACATTTTTAACGTGCATCACATTTTTATATCAACCCTAATTTATCTTGGTCTAACCAAACTAATTGTTTAAAAACAATTAATACACATAGGAAAATTTGTATAGATAATTTTAATCTAAAAAAAGAAAATAAGGCTCTGGCATCAACCATGTCCAGCCCTACTCTTAAACTTAAAAGGATTGTTGAAGAAAAGTTAACTAAAAACAAACAAGCGAGAAAAGTTAACTAAAAACATGCCCAGCCCTACTCTCAAAATTATAAGAATTGTTAGAGAAAAGTCAGATAAATAAATCAAATATGCCCCAGCCCTAATTTTAAACGTACATAAATTGTTAGAGAGAAGTTTAAAAACACGAATATACCCAGGCCTACTCTGAAACTAACAAGGATTGTTGAAGAATATTAAACTATAAAAGAACATGCCCGCAAGAATTGTTGAAGAAATTTTAACTAAAAAACAATCATGTTTATTGTCTAGCCATACTCTTGAAATAATAAGTATTTGTGGAGAAAATTCAACTAAAAAACATGCCCAACCTTGATGTTAAAACATGCCCAACCCTAATGTTAAAACATGCCCAACCCTAATGTTGAAAACATGCCCAACCCTAATGTTAAAACATGCCCAACTCTAATGTTGAAAACATGCCCAACCCGAATGTTGAAACATGCCCAACCCTAATGTTAAAACATGCCCAACCCTAATGTTAAAACATGCCCAACCCTAATGTTGAAAACATGCCCAACCCTAATGTTAAAACATGCCCAACCCTAATGTTGAAAACATGCCCAACCCTAATGTTAAAACATGCCCAACCCTAATGTTGAAAACATGCCCAACCCTAATGTTAAAACATGCCCAACCCTAATGTTGAAAACATGCCCAACCCTAATGTTAAAACATGCCCAACCCTAATGTTGAAAACATGCCCAACCCTAATGTTAAAACATGCCCAACCCTAATGTTGAAAACATGCCCAACCCTAATGTTAAAACATGCCCAACCCTAATGTTGAAAACATGCCCAACCCTAATGTTAAAACATGCCCAACCCTAATGTTGAAAACATGCCCAACCCTAATGTTGAAAGCGAATATGACGTGCTCTACTTTTAAACGTATAAGGATTGTTGGAGAAAAGTAAACTAAAAACAAATATGCACAGCCCTACTTTTTAATTTTTAATGATTGTTGAAGAAACGTTAACTAAAAAACGAACATACCCCAGCCCTACTCTTAAACTTTTAAGAATTGTTGAAGAACAGTCAACTAAAAGAACGAACATGACCCAGTCCTACTTTTAAACTTATAAGAATCGTTGGAGAAACATGTCCAGCCATACTCTTAACATTATAAGTATTTTAGGGGAAAAGTCAATTAAAAACATGGCCATAATCTTTTTGGAGATAAGGAAACCGAAAAAAATATGTCAAAGTGCTAATTTTAAACTTATATGGATTGTTAGATAGAAGTTCAAAAACATGAACATGCCCAAGGCTTACTCTTAAACTTTTAGGAATTGCTGAAGAACAGTCAACTAAAAGAACGAATATACACAGCCTAAATCTTAAACTTATAAGGATTGTTAGAGAAAAGTCAACTCAAAACTAATATACACAGCCTAAATCTTAAACTTATAAGGATTGTTGGAGGGAATTAAACTGGAAAGGCTATCTCAGGCACTTATATCCCTTCTACAGATAACTAATACAGATTATGCATTGGGTGGGCGGGAGAGGGTTGTAATGTTGGGGAAAGGGGAGGTATGGGTTACAAGGAAAGTTAATCTACATAAATCGAAAATGACATGAATGTTAATGTCATATAAATCCAGGATTTTTTTAGCTTTAGCTTTAGCATAACACGTATTTTTTCGTCAAACTTTTACTGGGTCACTTGGTTTTCCACAAAAAATTCAGTCCCGATCGTTTTGGTTTTTGTTAAAAAAATCTAAATTTTTAATACAATGTTTTTTTATATCACTGAAACCAACCATTTTTCGACTGTCAAATTGTTGCACATATTTGCCAATGTTATGTTTTCCTTGTAAAATATTTAGAATACGTGCACGCTCTGGCAGTTGGTGCGCGTGATTTTTCACGAGAACATTATTTGCAGGGATAGAATAGGTCTCAGGAATACTATTTGATTATGGCACATGAAAAAGGAAGGAATGGGGGGGGAGTCAAAAGAAGGGGGGGGGTTATCATTTGAATAGAAAGATTTCTTTTCTTGCACGTATGCGCCGCATTCAATCTAGTTTATGGAAAACAGGGGCATATATTTCTTAAAAAATCATTCCTTCCCCCCCCCCATAACACAATTCTCTTTTCCCTGATTTTTTTTCTTTTTTTGGGTATTGAATTTTAAGAGGTGTAAAGAAATGTTTTTGTTGTTGCAGAAAGCACTCCTCAATTAGAACAAAATCTGCAATCTGGTTCGATAATTATTCCTAACATAAATTGTTATAAGGTTCATTTAATAAAAACATATTTCTACCAAATATGAATTGGTGTAATCATACATTGAAACTTATTAATCATGACTTGAGTCTAGGATCCATAATTCCTATTTATCTCTGGTTCTCACTCACTGTCTTATATCTAAGTGACGGTGTCTGAATGTTCCAGCATTATAATAATCCTAGGCTTAAATATTTTGAAAGTTTAACTACATCAACTCTGGCTTAGAACTCCTGTTTAATTTATACAGGATGTTTAAGATAAAATGCATGTTTAGAAATTACTTTGCTCCCCCCACCCCCTCCCCCCATGTTTATATTAAATGACTGATTACTCGATTCAAACTATAATTTTGTACTTCCTTTTCAACCCTGTGAGTAAACCGTTGATATTTCAACTTTACTACTTGATCTAGTAGATATTACAATTTAAAACCAAAGGCCTGCGACATCAGGTTAAAAAATGTGTAATACTTAGAGTTTTAAACACCTAATCAGTTTATTTCGGACAAAGCATGTTATTGTCGCACATGTTTAGGTCTTTAGTGGCAATTAAATAGTAAAACGTTCATGTAAACAGTCAGATTAAAACATGATAAAGAAACAAACTAATTCTTTTAAAAACTAGGTTTTTAGAGAATTTGAGCCCTTTTTCTTGTAATAATTTTATTTGTTTATTGTTTCTTTAACTTTGAGCCATTTGTCTTGTAATCATTTTATTTGTTTAATGTTTCTTTAACTTTGAGCCATTTTTCGTTCTGGAATTTAAAAACCGAAAATTTTCCTGATTCAAAGTTTAGAAAAATAAAAAAAAATGAGATTTCATGTTTTTTTTTTCATCTCAGTCGTATAAACCACAAAATAAAAATATTTATGATACGTACAACCGGCTTCTATTAAACAATTATTTTTTATTTCCACAATTATTATGATGAATGTGAGAGACACCCTGTTGTGTAAAAAGCCTTGTGTTTGCGTTAGGGATAAAATGTCGCCTTATCATTCACTTAGAGAAACCTGTATATATATATACAAAGGGATAGGTAGATAGATAGAAAGATAGAAAGATGTACAGATAGATTGTCAGATAGACAGATAAAAATTTAACAGATAAATTTTTATTAAGAGAATCACAACCAGGGAATAAGAATAAAGGGAAGGGAAATGGCACTGGTCTGGCATGAGAAAGCCAGTCGCACTGCTTTGCAGACGAGTTCGTTATTACACACGCACACTCTTTTGGTACAGACACACAACATGACTACAGTCAAGGAAATTGCAGACCATTGTCGTCAATTATAATTAAGCTTGAATAACGAGTATCTTATTGTAAACTTTAATCAAGTTATATTCTTTGCATGAAAATTTGGCTTATAGTATAGTATTATTTAATATGTAATTAATGTATAACATGTATATTAAACTTATTTTTAAGTAAACAATTAACCATAAACGAATGTGTATTCTCCTAGACTGTACAAATACAGAGATTCTTATGTACTGTATATACCTACAGTACACGCCTTCGGTTCGGTATCACATACATACACTCTTTTGGTACAGACACACAAACATGACGTTTCCGCCTCCTGACTACAACGTAAATCTTTATCTTATATATAACAATGAAAATTGTTTAGTTACTCTTGATTTTAAATTTATATATACAATTAATAGAAATTGATATACAATTAAACATAATCAAGTTTAGTAAAAAAAACAAGGATATCTTTTTCCCCCTTACATGAACCAAAGGTTGAAAATGTACCGGAGTGAATCGGAAATGCTACTGTATAAATGTTTTCTTAATATTATGACGTTTATTGTCTCTTCAAATTGAGTTTTTTTTTAGTTTTTTTTTATAATTGCAGGATGGGGGTCATCAGTTTAAAAGAGAAAAAACTGGACGTGGTTCCCCTTTATATACTGTACACAGCGCCACTCTGCGTTCAGCTTCTCAACTAGAACTTAAGCTGACCCAGGTAATAAATTAAACCAATTTGAAAAAAAAATATTTTGTCACTTAAACGGGTTGTAAATTTGATTTAAAATGACCCTCTCTTAAAAAATGGGCCTTTCCGATTCCCTTTATGGTACCAAATTAAAGACCTTCGAGTTTGAGCAAAAGTGATAAAGATGTTCTTTTTTTATGACAAAAAATTTATGATTATCAATTGCGGTTTTTTTATGTTAACATCACTTGCGGATGAGTTTTCTCGACAGATGGAATGAACTTGTCAGTTTTCAACACATGTTTAAAGATAAAGAAAAAAAATTGTATCGACAATAAGTGACCAAATAAGTGTAATTTTCTCTAAATCGGCCCTTGTAAATTAAGGCTAATAAAAGAACAAGTTTGCTAAAAATGCTTAAGATGGAAAAAAAACACCCTTTTGAAATATGGTGTGTGACGTGAAGGACTAAAGAACTAAGTATAATTGTATATATTGGCCTGATTCTAATCTCTGTATAACTGGTTGGTATGGTCTGGTCTGGTTGGGTTTCATATTTTCTCCCCAATTTTCCACACTTTCCACATTGTTAATGCACTTAGCACCCGTCCCTACACTTACTAGAGACATAATAAGATGATATTTGAAATTCAGCAGTTCTTTAGTAAAAACCAGGAATACTCTGCTATACTCCCACTTCTGCCCTTACTTACATATATTTATTACCCTGGCTGGCAACCTTTCTCAAGCCTGGTCAATATATATATTCGTATATACAGTGTGTCTCGGAAAAATATTAATCTTTAAAAAACAATTTTTATGTTTAAGTCCCCTTTTAATGTTAAATTATCCCTTTTGAATGGTTCATAGATTTTTTTTTCCAAATATTTTTAGAATTTGAGGGAAATCATATCGATGGTTTTTTTAATGACGTTTTCAAACGAATGTTTTATTCGCAAATTTTGGAAAATAATTGTAATCATAAATTTATCTGAAAAACTTGAAAAAATAAAATGTCTTTTATATAATTATTTTTTATTAGTTCATGTAGTAATATCTAATGTCAGTGTGATCATAAATTTACAAATCTAAAAATGCGAAAAAAACTAAAAGGCCGAAATAAAATAAAAAATCTAAATTTGTTGTTTTGCACCGGTTAGATTTTTTTACGTCTTTCGAGGACAGAGAAAACCTTCAATAGAAATAATATAAATAAAATTAAAAAATTAGACAAGGATTTTATTTTCATAAACTGCAAGGGAGCTAGAAAAGGGGTATCGAGGATAATTTCCATACTTTCAAAGATTTTTGTGGTAAATGTGATATTAGACTTAATTCAACATGGCAATCTTGATACTCTTTTACCCCCCCCCAAAAAAAAAAAAAAAAATTAATATTTTTTCCCCTTTAAATCAGCGTTGAAACCCTTTAGAAAAAATATTTCAAAAAGGTTTATCAAAATATTATTTAAGAAATCATATACCCCTGAAGATATGTATTCTGCTGGTTTGGTAAAACTTGTGGAAAGCCTATATGAGTGGCTTGAAAGGCCTGAAAGGTTTTCTGAAAGTATCGGGAATTGATTAAAAACGATGAAAGATGAGGACCAAAACTGCCAAATAAACTTTTAGAAAACTCAGGAAAATAGGAAAATACAATAAATTTAAAAACAGGTTAACCTTTAGGAAGAAAAGAAAAATTGTTAGAAAATATTCATTAACGTTAAAATTTTATCATTCATCTTAACATCGTATTCTTAGATGGTTTGGGACGGGGGGGGGGGGATTAATAGTTAGAATATTTAGCGTTACACGTATTGACTTTCTTTTTCTTTGTATTCTCTCTTTCTTTGTCAATGAATTTATCTTGACAAAAACAGTTGTAGCATGTGATGCATAAAAATATAATTTTGATAAGAAATGATATTTACCACGTTTAAAAATCAATGTTAATAAAAACACTAGTTTTAAATACAAAAACTAAATCAAAATACCAACCCTAAAACATACTTTCGCCAATCTTTAATTTTTACTAGAAAAAAATGTTTGTTTTTTTATAAACAAGGTTTTTTTTTTAGGAGAAGCATCCCCCATCTAAAGAGACTAAACGACTGCTGAAGCAGCGCAGTCAGGAGAGCATCAAACAAGAGCTGCTCCACTCCAAGGAGAAGGAGTCAGGTCGAGTTGAGGAACAGCACCTTAGAAAGGAGAAGGAGGACAATGGAGAATGGAGTGTACTAAGGTAGGATTTATAAATGGCCGATTAATTATAGTTATCAGTGTAACAAAATTTCAAATAGAAAAAATGAATATCTCGATCATTTTTGCCAGAGGAAGGTTTATAGGTACCGGCCGTACTCTTTGTAGGAAGAATCACTTGAATTTATGTCAACATTTCCTTGAAAAAGTAAAATAAAAAATAATAGAAAATGATGGACAATTCTTTACAACGTTTTATCTAAGAAATACCGCCTTTTCTATTTCATTCTATATTCTGTAGAATTCAGGTTACAGACATTCCAAAACTCCTCTGACTAAAGCAACCCCGTACTCTTACTAAGACTAACTGATTCAGAGTCTTACATCATAATTCTTAAAATGCATTTTAGATTTCATCAAAATATTGCAGACGTGATGTTATAATGATTGATGGGAACATTTTATCAACTCATAAACACATTCACACATTTAGATCAGCACATGTTTAAATATTCGTTATAAGGTGTTCCGCCAAAACGATGTCAGGTCAAGATAAGATTGTAAGCGAAGATCAAAACTTTTAAATTTTAAATTTAAAAAAGACAAGAATTTTATTATCCTATTTTACTCACTGGGCATCCATGGGTTTCCTAAAAAAATATCTGTCCATTCGGTTTAGCCGTTTTGGTCTCTGATTTTATGATTGGCATCCGGTGATGACCCGTTGGTTTCGATGACATCATAAACTTCCTGCACTCGTACTTTAAACATAGTAAAAAATATATACTTTATGGCCAGTATAGAGTGGTTAATTTACATCTGTGTATACAAATATGCAAGCTTATACAAATATACAGGGATACAAGTTTATTTAATTATTACACATCCAGAAAACATATAAAAGGGTAATATTTTATTTTACAGTTTAAGTCACGGAGTTTGTTATTTTTATCAGAAAATTTCAAACTTACTGAATTGTGTGTTTTTAAAGTTTTTGATAAATAAAACATTTAATCTGTCATGATGAATGCTTCTTTTTAAAGAAAATTGGTGACTTACAAAAAGCTCATGTTGTAATTTGATAAAAATGTTTAATTTAAGTTCTTTTCTTATTATATCTCGTTAGCAACATAAATATCATCTGTTTTTTAAAGTTTTTTAGATTTTGGGCTCAGGCTTGATTTCACAAAACATGTTCTTAATGTTTTTAACAGATTTTTACTTGTTTTCAACAAATGAAACGCAAAAACTCTTCTTTGGCGAAAGATAAAAATAATTTAGTTAAAATAATACTCATGTTCTAATATTTTCAAGTTCTCATGTGGTCATGTTGTTTATATGATGTCATTATGTGAAGTTGTCATGTTATTATATTCTCATGTTCTCTTGTCCTTATGGTCGCATGGGCTAATGGTCTCATTTTTTTCTAGTTCTTATGGTTCTTTGGTCGAATGGTCTCATGTTCTCATGGTATCTTGGTCTCATGCTGTCATGGTCTCTCTTGGTCTCATGCTCTCATGGTCTCTTGGTCTCATTGTCTCATGCTCTCATGCTCTCATTGTCTCATGCTATCATGGTCTCTTGGTCTCATTGGCTCATGCTCGTATGTTCACATGGTCTCTTGGTCTCATTGTCTCATGCTCTCATGGTATCTTGGTCTCATGCTCTCATGGTCTCTTGGTCTCATTGTCTCATGCTCTCATGCTCTCTTGGTCTCATTGTCTCATGCTATCATGGTCTCTTGGTCTCATTGTCTCATGCTCGTATGTTCACATGGTCTCTTGGTCTCATTGTCTCATGCTCTCATGCTCTCATGGTCTCATTGTCTCATGCTGTCATGGTCTCTTGGTCTCATTGTCTCATGCTCTCATGCTCTCACATGGTCTCTTGGTCTCATTGTCTCATGCTCTCATGCTCTCATGGTCTCATTGTCTCATGCTGTCATGGTCTCTTGGTCTCATTGTCTCATGCTCTCATGCTCTCATGGTCTCATTGTCTCATGCTGTCATGCTCTCATGGTCTCATTGTCTCATGCTCTCATGCTCTCTTGGTCTCATTGTATCATGCTCTCATGCTCTCTTGGTCTCATTGTCTCATTGTCTCATGTTCACATGGTCTTTTGGTCTCATTATCTCATGTTCACATGCTCTCATGGTCTCTTGGTCTCATTGTCTCATGCTCTCATGCTCTCTTGGTCTCATTGTCTCTTGCTCTTATGCTCTCATGTGCGCTTGTTCTCATAGTTTCATGGTTCCATTCAGATATAATTTTCCTATATGAACCCCAATTCTAAGTTTTACCGAATGATGTTTGTTTAGGACGAACTTCCCTTACATAGACCAGAGTCCCCTGGATCAGGGACTAGGAGGGTTCAGGGTACCTGGAGCTGATCAAACCAACTCTATATCTACACTAGGGACCAGGTATATCTAGTTGTGTAGCTTTAGGTCAGGTAGGAGAAAGGGCATTGAAGGGATAAATAGCAGAGTGATAAATAGTGAAGAAAGGCTAGAGGAGTAAAGGGTGAAGGAAAGATAGAGGGCTAAAAATTAAGGTTTAGGAAAGGAAGGGGAGAAGGTAAAGTGTGAGGTGTAGAAAAGGAAAGAGAGGGGTAAATCTTGATGTGTAGAAAAGGAAGGGTAGAGGAGTAAAGGGTGAGGTGTAGGAAAGGAAGGGAGAGGGTAAAGGGTGAGATGTAGGAAAGGAAGGGGGAGGGTAAAGGTTGAGGTGTAGGAAAGGAAGAGGAGAGGGGTAAAGGGCGAGGTGTAGGAAAGGAAGGGGGTAATGAAGTTATTTTAATTTACATATCCTTCGGCTCTAGCTCTTTGTTTTCAATGATGTTGTGTTGAGGGATTTCTATCAAGTTTCCTATACTAAATATGAATATATAATACGTACATTGTACACTATACACAACACAATGTACAGGGTGTCCCAAAAAAGTTTAATTTTTACAACTTGAGACACCCTGCACTTCCAGACAAAGTCAGACAACAGTTTGAAACATCAAACTAAATTCATTTAATTTCGTTTTGAAACAGTTTTATATCTTAAAATTTTGTTTATGTAGCTAGGGGAGGGGTGGAAGGAGGGACTGAGGGGGGGAAGAGGGGGAAAAGAGGGTGAAAGGTTTGGTTAAAAGTTGACGGGATTTCAACCAAACAAATCAAGTTTGTAATAGTTATAACATATTATACCTCTGACTAATGATAAACTATAGTATGTCTATATGCTTTTATCTCTTGCTTTAGAACAAAATTAATGATCATCTTTTTTTCTAGGAAAAATTTGATTAACAACCATTTTTTTGGAAGTTACTTTCACCTGAATTTACTTAAGCAAGCTTTTACTCTACACTGTACAGCTTCATGATTTAATAAAGATCAAAGAGAAAAACAAAAATTAAGCAAATGAGATGAGAGATTATAAATGAAACAGGAATTCTAGGTTTTACATTTTCTTAATTAAAATAGAAACCATAAAAGATGAACATTGTGCATTGTACACATTATTATGGAGACGGAGAGCTTTTAAACATATTTTCGTTGATAGGGTTTTCTTAACAGCTTCTTTATAGTGTTCTAAACTGCACTGAAAATCAGCATTATACTAACTACTTAAGCATGATTTTAAAATTTAGTTTTTCCTTAGTACAGTAAATATAGGTTTAGGTAAGCCTTTGACTGAAATATAATTATTAAAACATTGAAAATATTCTCTAAATGGGTTCCATAATGATTTGGTAAAGATAATGCGGAAAGGCAGGAAATGTTGGAATTAAGAATGAATAAATTCCGTACAGTCGTCTCTGAAGTCTCATCCTCTATGTTTAGAACTGAAACCTACGAGGATGAGGAGAAAAGAAAAGATTCAGTTTCAACAATTCAATCAGTTTCCTGTCGTAACAGTTTCCTCGGTAATTCTTTTTATACATTGGAATTCGAGGCGCTTCATGCCACGTTTTTCAGTTATATAGTTTAGCTATTAGGATTAAATCTATATACATATATGATGACTCACTAGGCTTTCAGGGCGCTTCGCGCTCATCTTCTATTTTAATTGTGAACATGTTCTCTTTTTGTGCATTGTAAAAAAAAGTTCGCTGATTTGATAAAAAAATTCGCGGATTTTCAAAATTTTAAGAAATTTTATAAAGGTGAACTTGAACACAATTTTTTAAAATTCATTCATAAACCTTCCATGGGGTCACGCGAGGTGCCACAAAAAATCTGGGTCCGATTGTTTCAACCGTTTATTGGATACAAACAAACAAACAGACAAGCAAAGTATATATATAGATGTCCTTGACTGATTTGCCTCAAATTTTGATTGTGGAACTCGGGAGAACCATGGTAATGTTTCTAACTTGATTTTGAGATTTTAAATGAGTCGGTCGACTTGTATAGTAAAAAATAGACAAATTCTCAATTTACGACCAAGCGCGGGTAAACGGCTGGAGTAACATATAAGCTAGTATAACTATAAAGTAGTTAGAATTTATTTTGTGTTTATTAAACTGATTACATGCCTTAAATACATATTTTCTAATCTATATCTCATTTCAACCTAATGGCGTAAACCTTTTGATATTTAAAACTACTAAATCAAGAAGAATTTGTATTTTAAAGCAACAAAGTTCTTTGATATAAGGTTTCCCAGACAAAAGAATTTTAAAATTTAGTATCAAACATAACTAGATAATATTTTAGGTCCACCCCCATCCGATGAGCGAGGAAAGAAAACTAAAAAAGGTCAGTTCAGATGTTGTTTTGTTTGAATTGGTATTTAGCATGGTTTATGTTAAGTACTGTGCAGTTTGCAATGTTTGAGTTGCCATTAATCAATCCAGCTGCAGCCCACATTTTACCTTAACACTAATTGCGGCTAATTTATCTAGTTAACCCGATATTCTTTTAATCTATACTGCCATTGATATCGTACACTGTTACCTACCATCAGGGGCATTAAGGTCTATTTATAAAGATTTTGTTGTGAATCATTCAATTTGTTTTTGGTTCTTGTTTTTGCATACATTTTCAGTATTTTCTGTATTTTCAGTATTTTCAGTATTTTCAGTATTATCAGTATTTTCAGTGTTTTGTGAAATAAAGAATTAAGAATTTTTAAGATTGATTTATATTGCTCTTTCAGTGTATAAATCGGTCGTTCCACTGTAATTTCATTAGAAGTAAATATTGCCATTTACTGATCACCACTGATTGATGGATTAATAACTCTGATTGGATAATGAGATAGACAGAAAGATAGATGTTACCGCCATACAATTTCTATTGGTTCAGAATAGACAACAAACACATGACTGAACCCTGATTAGATCAGGCGCTAATTGACTCGGCCCGGCATACAGGAGTGACGTTCGCCGGTACATGTGTATATAAAACATTTATGAATCGTAATTTATAATACTTCTGTTTATGGCTTGTGCTTATACCAGCTCCTTTAAAGGCCAAGATGTATTGGAAGACGGGGAGGGGGGGATAATTGCATGCGTGCCTTCATCGCAAATTTTCATTTTTCCGCGAACAAATGTATTTCAGGACAAAATCAATTGTATGGTTCAATTCTTCATTAATCATAAAGTTAATTTCCGTTTTGTAGTGAAGAATTTTCTAGATTTATACATCCTGCTCCGGGCCCGGTGTAATCCTTTAGGCCAATATTAGTTTTATCTAGAGGAACGAAGAGAACTGGATTTATATCCAGAGGCAAATGTAGAAACTAGAACGGGTTGGATCAAGAAAATAAGAACACAGTGGTCCATAAAAAAAGTGGAAATCAATGAAGACTTTCATATCACCAATTGTGTCTCTCTGTTTCAGTTTTGCGACGTTAGTGTCTCTCTGTTCCAGTTTGCGACGTTAGTGTCTCTATGTTTCAGTTTTGCGACGTTAGTGTCTCTCTGTTCCAGTTTTGCGAAATTGGTGTCTCTATGTTTCAGTTTTACGACGTTAGTGTCTCTCTGTTCCAGTTTGCGACGTTAGTGTCTCTATGTTTCAGTTTTGCGACGTTAGTGTCTCTCTGTTCCAGTTTTGCGACGTTGGTGTCTCTATGTTTCAGTTTTACGACGTTAGTGTCTCTCTGTTCCAGTTTTGCGACGTTGATGTCTCTTATGTTCCAGTTTTGCGACGTTAGTGTCTCTTTGTTCCAGTTTTGCGACGTTAGTGTCTCTATGTTCCAGTTTTGCGACGTTAGTGTCTCTTTGTTCCAGTTTTGCGACGTAAGTTTCTCTCTAATTTAACAGTTTAGTCCTTGTCCCAGCAAACTGTGACTTTTGATGACAATTTTACATATAAAGCATGTACATTTTAATTTTTTTCTCTTTTATACTTGTATGTTGGCGGATGCGCTTTAAATGAAAAAGTATAAAAAGACAGCAACTTATTTTTAAAGTGTTAAACTATTGTTGAATTATTGTTAAAAGGTGTGTGAAAAGAGATTTGTAAAAAAATGAAACGGAGTAAAAACTGTTTTTTAAATACGTGTAGTTGAAAGCAAAATTAAACAAACGGAAAACTGGAAAAGAATTGAAAAAGATATAAGAATATAAACGTGAAAATGGAAGATTAGAGGAAACCCAAATTTACTTTGACATCAATTGTTCAAAAAATATGTATGGCTGAGGTTGATAAAAAGCATGATCAAAAACTGGAAAATAATTAGAAATATAAGAAGGGAGATTAAAAGAAAAGTAATGAGGAACCTAAAAATAATTCTGATTTCAATTTTTCAACTTTTTAAGAATTATGTAGTTGAGAGAAACATAATTTATAAGTATAAGAATAAAGATGTGAAAATGAAAGATTAGAGGAAACGAGGTGGAAGAGTACAACAAAACCCAAATTATCTCTGACATCAATTTGTTTTTGTTTCTTCAACAGGGACACTAAGTGAGTACAATGTATCTCGGACAAAAAGTAAAAACTTTTACTTTTAAAATATAAATTTACATCCTTACAAAGTCATTTTTAATATTAAAGGGACTGTAAATGTGATTTCAAGAGAACCTCCATTGATAGAGCGGCATGTCAGATTGATAACAGTATCCTTAAAAGCTTTATCTGATCAAGGGTGAAATAGCTATCAACGTTTTTTTTAAACTTTATTCATATTTGTGGTTTTTATGAAAATGGACGTTTTTAGCTTCAGAAAAATTGTTAACACGTTAAGCCAGAAAAATTACGTTTCATGGGCATCGGTTATAGCCCTCTTTAGATGGAGGGTTATTTAAAATTACGAGGACAGTCCCTTTAAATAGATGATTTTTCCTCTGATATCATAATATGTCATCAAGTTTCAAACTGACATGATTAAAGTTTCAAACAATTTTGCAATAATCAGGTTAATATTCAGAAGAAGGAAAGTGAGCGATTTAATATCTCAACTTTGCTAATTCAAACTTAATTCGGATTTTAAACTTTAATCTCATCAAGATTTTGGGACAGGGAATTAAAGAGTTAAATTAAGATTTTGTGTTGAAACCAAAAATGTCAAACTTGGATCATGAATTCTTGAGGAAATGTGGAAGTAGTGTTGTTTTTCATATATAATTCTTCTTTTTCATTAGTCATTTTCTCATTAGTTTCTCGAGCCTTAGGCCTGTATATATTGAATCATTATACTAATAAATATGCGTAAATAACACGTACAAATATAGAATTGAAATAAAATCAATACAAATTTTGAATTTAATAATAACAAAAAAGGTGTAAAAAGTTTAGAAGAGCCCCCTCACCAATGTTAAGAGGATTAAACTGCTTAAAGGGACTGTGAGTAATTTAAATGACTCCAAAGAGACTGTAAAGGAAAAATTAAAGGGGGTATAGGCTGAAACCTGAGAATCTCAAGATTAATACTATACGAATCTTATACAAAATCTTACATATATATATACGTTTTGGTATAATTTTGACACAGTTTTATATCAATTTCTCGAGACAGAAAAATCAGATAGAACTCTTATATGCCTCAATCAACTCCTGAGATTCTCAGTTTTCAGCTTATACCCCCTTTTATTTTTCCTTTACAGTCCCTTTAGCAAAGATGACAATGCCCGTTTACCAAAGATATTCTTGAAGCCTGTATCTGATCAACAGTGAAGAAGATATTGTCGTTTTTCTAGTTTCAAAGGTTTTTATTTTTCTCATTTCTTTGTTTTCTTGCAGTAGAAATGCTCATGTCCCTTTTGTAGAGAAACCACAATTGAAAATTTCAAACTTTTAAATATTGATAATTAATACTTGATCACACAAAGCTTTTATACGGGCACCGCCCCGTTAGGACTCTGACATTGCCCTATTTGCATTGAAGGGTCACTTGAAATTACGCTTACAGTCTCTTTAATTTAAATTGTTTATGTAAAATCCCCCCCTCTCTATAGTTGAGTTGATTTTAAATCTTGAAGTTGTGGATTAAAGATGAACTATAAGATTGTTTAGGCTCAGCTCTTGAAAGCTTAATCTTCTTGAGTTCTTGATCCAATCCTTTAATGAATAAATAACAGAGAATAAATAAATACATTTTATTTTTACCATTCAGAATCTAAAAAGGTTTGGTTTCATCTAGACTCTGGTATCTTAAGACATTGACGACGCATTTAAACAAATACTCGATTCACATTGGTACCTTTATGTGAGCAAAAATTATATATTTAGCTAGGTATACTTTTTATCGGAAAACTAGCCGGGGTGCCCGGCGTTACCCGTGAAATAGATAAATTTTGAATTAAAAGAAATTATTTTTAAAAAAAAATCGAATTTTGTTTTTGCCTTTGTTAATCACAGAGTACCCATGGGTTTCCTAAAAAAATTTCAGCCAATTTGGTCCAGCCGTTAGGCCAGCTAAAGCTAATATATTAAAAAAATATACATTATAGCATTATTATAAAAAATTGTCCATTACTTTTCAGCTTTATACAAGAAAATATAAATATCATAAAAATAACCTATTTTGAGATTTTCTTGTTTATCCCAGGTAACAATTTTACGGAAAATCCGCGGAAATTCCCAGGAATCTTTCACAGGAAAATCCGGTGAAAATGTCGACAGCAATTCCGAGGAATTTCTCGGTACCCATTCCAAGGAATTTCTCATAACCAGGTCCGAGGAATTTCTCATAACCCTATCCAGGGAATTTCTTGTTACCAATTCTGCAGAAAACCCGTAGAAAATGTCGACCACATTTTTGGAATTTCTTAGGAATTTCCAGAGAGAGTTCCTCAGGAATATCTTAACATATTCTTAGCATATTCCTGAGTACATTCACTAACGAGGACTTAGACTTAAAAGTAGTGAAAAACTTAACAACTATCTATATAGCCTCTCCAACTTTTTAGAAGTACAACCAACTTCTTAAGTCAGAACGTTATAGTCGTTTTTGATCTTACTGCAGTTGTCATGTATTTTGTTTATTCAGACAACTGAATTGTCAAGAAAAAATGAAATAAAATTTTCAAAATATTTTTTTAAAAGATGGTTCTAAAGTAAATTATCATTTTTTAAGGATGCAAAGAAAAAAGATTTAGTTAGGGCAGTGCATAATAGAAGAGAACCTCAGAGACACCTATTGGAGAAAAACGGAACTCGAAAATTCTTTGAGAATTCCTCAGGAATTTCCGGAGAAATATTCATAAGAAATTCTGAGGAATTTCTTGAGAAAAATTCCAGAGAAATTCTCAGGAATTTTTTGAGACTTATTCACTTATTTAATTCCCCTAAAAATCCGTAAACTTGTAACCAAGTCCTAAGAATTTCTTAGAAATTTCCGGAGACAAGTATTCAGCAGAATTTCTCAGAAATTTCTTGGGGTGAAATTCCGGAGAAATTCCCAGGAATTTCTCGAAACCAATTCTCTTATTATTGTAAGCTCGTTCATTAGGATTTGTGGTTTTATGAAGATAGGAATTTGGTTTGTTTATATTTAATATTGATTTAATGTATTAATTATGCAGTCTTAACTATATGTATTCTTACAATAAATATATGTATATACCTACATTGTACAGACTGAACTATAAAACAAATAAATTATAATTAACTATGGAATTAACTTAAAATTAAGTAATAAATATGGGATATCCGATTAGAACTCCGGAACCTCTGGACCGATTTGATTTTGATTTTGATTGGGAAACTAGGTAGAACCACGGGAATGTGTCTAAAGCAAGAAAATCTTAAGTTGACTTGAATTTTTAAGAGATATTCTAGTTTCCAGGCAAAGCTGGGTTCCCAAGCTAGTTTTCTTATATAGTTATACAATATACAATATATAACCCTATTTGTAAAGAAAAATAGAAATAAATAGATAGAAGGATAAATTTGGGATAATTGTTTTTCTTTAGTTGGTTGAGCACAATATGAAGGACAAATTAATATTATTGGATATATTTTACAAGTACGCCCATTGTACCAGAAAGTTGTCAGAAAATATTAGAAAGTATGGATGGAAGTCATGAAAAATGCAAGATTTTTTTATTTTTTAACTGGCTCACATTTTTGTCGATGTTCATATTAAATTTTCTATTATTTTTTCTTCATTTCTATATCTTTAAATTGATTAACAGTCTTTTTGTTAACCTAAAATATAAGATAAATTATATATCTCAAAAAATCACATGTTTTCTGACCAATGACCTGTTTAAACCAAATCAAATTTACAATTTTGGTTTGGCTTTACGTTAGGAAAAAATAAGGTACATACAATATATGGTTCATTACGCTTCGTTTTTAAATGGCACATTAAAACTTTATAGAGTTTCTTAAAATATATTCAGGACATGACTTACTGTTATTTAGTTTCGCGCGTTTTTGAAATTATCTTGGTTTAGGTAGAGCCTTAATTATGAAGGTTGCCGTTTTATTATTTTCTAATCCAATAAAAATAATTTTGATGATTAATTTTTTTCAGGTTTATCCAGCAATGCATACTCTGTTCCGAACTTGAATCCCCCCGCAACCTCCCCTTCCACTCTACACCCATGTCCCTCTCCTCCTCCATCCACCTCAACTCCACCCCCGTCATATCCAACAGGAACATGAGGATACAAATATAAAAGAAACAGTAAACGTAATTTTAAAAACCTTCCATTTAAAGAGTGCATATCCAATACAAAACAGTTCCCTTTAAACCTTTGACTGATCGTAGAGGACAGAGAAATCGTTGTTTTTGTCTCTCAATGTTAAATAAAAAGCCATACATTGGAGGTTAAGCTATAGTGTACTGTGTGAACTCACATTTATTCCTGGAAAACCCATAACATTCTGTTTCAACCGCGGTTTTCAATAATTCATATTTAAATATTTATATTCTGCCACTTTAAGAAAGTAAATGTTAATCGATAAATATAAAACAGTTTTCTATAGAACAATAAGTAAAAATTTGTCATTAATTTATCAGTCAAAGGTTTCAAGGGGGTACCGTTGTGAATTGGGAATCCATGTTTTTAAATAGGAGGTCACTTATGATTACGATTACAGTCCCTTTCAGAAGAAAGTTTTTTATTCTCTCTTATTGGGTACAGAACCAGATTACTCTGGAATAAATGTCGTCTTTGTTCTTCTTTTTACATCATATGTGTCGCCATCGATTTTGCAAATCCGCAGTTTTCTGGTTCTCACTGTACAATGATCTATTTGTTTTGCTGGTGCCCCCCATTATCTCCCCAAATATTATTCTTTCAGTTTTTAAATTGAAAAAGAATACTTTAATATTTTGCTTTACAAATTGTTGTTCTATATTTGCCGTAATTCAAATTCTACAGTATGGAAAAAATACGATACATTGTTCTCTCGTTATTTTTATTTATTTTTTATTTTAAAATTCAAAACAAATCTAGTATTCAACATGGTGTATAATGACTTATTCCTGAATACGAACTACGGATATTAAATGATGCATTTTCTGGAATATTTGAAATTTTTCGCAACCTTTGATCCGCTATAGAATCATTTTGCATAAATTTCCTCTTCCCCCTCTTCTAAACTCGATCCTTGTTTAAAATATGAAATTTCAGTTTCTCGACATTTCTCAACTCTGGTAGAATTGGTTCTGTTTGTGCCTTGTTTAACTTTGAATAGGTTTCTATAAACTTAAAGGAACCTACTACATTATACTACAAACTATTTAGCAAGATAAAGTATCCTAAAATCAAAATTAAATCTACCAAGATAAAGTATCCTACATAATACAAAATGTAAAGCAAAATAAAGTATCCATATAATCCAAAATATCTCTAGTAAGATAAAGTATTCTTCATAATCCAAAATGTAAAGCAAGATAAAGTATCCTACATAATCAAAATATATCTCGCTAGATAAAGTTTCCTACATAATCCAAAATATATCTAGCAAGATAAGATATCCACATAATCCAAATTTTATCTAGCAAGATAAAGTATCCTACATAATCCAAAATAAATCTAGCAAGATAGAGTATACTACATAATCCAAAATATATCTAGCAAGATAAAGTATCCTACATAATCCAAAATATATCTAGCAAGATAAAGTATCCTACATAGTTCAATATATATCTGGCAAGTTAAAGTATCATAATAATCCAAAAGTTTAATATTAAAAAATTTATAAATATTTATATAGTTTAAAATCTGGCTCATTTCAAGTTTGAAATGTATCTTGAGCTATAAACCTGTTTCAATAACAAAACACGAGTGTAGATTACTTTTTCTTTTTTAATAGAATATCCCTAAACAATCCTGTTTAAACAGATAAAAAAGCAATTTCTTGAGTTTGAATTAATTTGTATTCACTAAGACTAGGTTTAGTTCTAACGACTTAATTAAATAAAGCTCAGGCTAAATTATAGGATTTGAACCATAAACTGCAGAATAGAAACATTTTATTCACAGCTTACAGAATAAAGGACATGGTACTTATTCGCAATAAAATACAGATGGGGGCCAGGGGGGGGTGCAGAGTCAGGGGCCTNCACTTCATGGGGGGGGGGGTTATAAATATTTTCAGGGATGATTTAAAAGGGAATGTTCCCTCCTGGACAAATTCTTATATGCCAATATTTTTAGTACTTTTCATTAGCAGTAAAAAATATGTTTATTTTTTGTAAATCAAATCAAAAGAAGTTTGCCCGACAAAATATGTCAAAATTAGTTAAAAGTTATTCATTACGAGGTTGCGTGATGTTCTTTTTAAAAACAGGATACATTTATCACATTCACTTTACAACGTACAGGAAAGCTAAGGAAAAATGATATTTTTATTTGAAACAAGTCGTATTTTGAATATTTTGCTGTGTTTTTTATTTAAAATGAGGATACACAGTATTGTTGCCTTTCTAAAAAAGTATCTAGATATTTTAATTTATGGAATAAATGCTTCACTGCAGGTGATTGGTTAAGTAGCATCTAATGTTAAGTACAGTGCATTATTATTATTTATATGCAATAAAACCACGATAGATCTTAACTGAGCTTGGTTGCTGGTTTGAAAATATAATGAAAAAGTGTAAGCTATCGTTAATCCCAGTTTCTTTATTATTAATTAAGTATTTGTAAAGAAAATAAGTTTCTCAAACAAAATGGAATAATTATGCATAATCTGAAAGTCCTGATTGATTGATTGATTAAGCTAAAAGGAAGAGTTCGAAATTGATTAAATTAATTAATTATTCAAATTTATTCTTAATTCAGGCAGGTAGGCTGTGTAGGCTTGGTTAAATGGTTTCCTTTATATTTGCATACAATCAAACAAACAATTAAACACTTTCACAGTTTTAAATATATTATAAAAATCATTCATGGCCCAGGGGGGGGGGGACTGGGGTATATATAGGAAAGGGGGTAAGGATTTAAATATGAGTTTTACAATTTCTAATTTTATTGTGCGCAATTCTCATTTTTCTTTGCAATACATTTGCTAGCGATTTTATTATTTATATAATTATAGATATTGTTAAAACAAGTATAAAAAGTCCCCAATGCTTTTTTGTCGTCTCCCAGTTTTATTTTATTTTGTTATTTTTATAATCATTATATTTTAGCTTCTTAAGCAATAATTTCCCCTATGTATCTATTGGATTAATATATCAAGTTCAAGAGAAGGTATGTCCCGCTATCTATCTAATTATCTAGCATACCTCATATGCATACATTGCATCAGTGCATACTGCATATGTGGAAAATTTAATTTTTTATCCGTAAATCGATGAAAAAAGCAAAAAATACACTGTTCGTTTAACATTAATTAAACAGCGTTCCTATTACTGGGACTTTAGAAGTAATATCAAGAGACCCTCCATGTTTGATTCACAATGGTACCTTTTAAACTTCAATTTGAGTAACAATGAGGAATACAATGTCGTTATTCTATATTAAAGAGTGCTGAATTTTGTTAGTTTCCTTTATTGTCTCTGTCTGCCACTTTTTTTTAAATCGAGGTTCACTTCAAATTNAGAGTTTATTTTATGAAAAGGGTGGGGGTAAAAAATCATTTTTATGGGAATATTTTCCCCTGAATTATTAAGATATGAATATAGTTCTCAATTTCTTAATTCATTCCGACCTGGAAGTAATTAATCAATAAATGCATAATATATTGATGCGCTTGAATGTCAAGGCTACCTATAGATCTATTCTATGCATGCTTTGAATATATTAAACTTGATGTACGTTCAGAAGCATGAATAATATTTAGCACATTCAGTAGATAGGTAAAAAATAAGCCAAAAGATTATAGAAACAAAAGCTTAATTGGTTTTCAGCCATTTTTGCTAATTCTCAAATGAATAACATTAAGCTTTTTTATTATTGTTTATTTATATTGTGAATATCCCTGCGTAAAGAGGTCCAAACGAAGATGTGAGCTACACCCACTCCCGGTCCAGTTCCCGCCATAATTCAGTACAGTACGAGCCATATTCCCGCCATAATTCGGTACAGTCTGATAGCAACTCCGCCCACACGTCGGCACAATACGATAGTCCGACGCGACTAGGCTCTGGGGTATGTACAGACGCGTCACAAAACTCTGTACATGAGGAGACCCCGATTGTACGCGGGCTACAACGGAGTACAGCATTTCATAACGCAATAACTTTACAAGAACAGGTGACAACATAAAATCAATTTTTTCAAAGATTCACAATTTTAAATATTTTATAAATTCAGTTGAAACTTGACGAGGAACGTGATAGATTGCGACGAGAGGAAGAGAAGGAAGAGGAACGAAGACGGGAGGGAGAGCTGAGATCTCGGATAGCAGCTGAGTATGAGCTCAAGCTAGTTGAAAAGGACCGTGAGCTGACCCGCTCAATAGACGAGCACAGGAGAGAACTATCAAGGTAAAGGTCAATCATATATTCAACAAAATTTATGAAAAATCAAAATTTTGTATAACATTTTTGTGTGCAATGTAATTCACGACATATTAAATATATTAAAGGGACTGTCTTCTGTTTAAAGCTTGACCTACCATTTAAAGAGGGACATGTCCGATTTTCAACGGTATCTTTAAACCCTGAGTATCGTTATTTTCTAAGTTTAAAAGTGTTGAATTCTGTAAATTGTTTTTGTCTTTGTTTTGTAGCAGAAATCTGCAAGTCTCTTTCATAAAAAAATTTTTTTTTAACAATTTCAAAATTACAAAAATGGATATCTCATTAATTATTGATCATATAAAATCAATAAAAGGTGCCATTGTAAATCGGACTGTATATATACCAGGTCACTTTAAGGCAAGATAAGAAAAGAAATTAAGTCTCTGGGACAAACTCTGAGTTTCTATAGACTATGAATTCTGTGAGATCAAAAACCTGAATTTGAAATATCAAAAAATTACGATCAGATCGCAAAGATATAGGGATTAGTACTTTTGAGTTTGTTGCAAAGACTCAATTTCTTTTCCGGAGTAAACTTTTTTTGTCAATCTATTTTTTGAATTGTTTTCTCCTGTGTCTAGGTTGAAGGAAGAGCATAGGATAGAACTGACCAGGATTAAAGAGGAGAAGAGTAGAATCCTAGAACAGACTCTAACCAAATACAAGGTTTAGAGTAAACAAATCTTAAATCAACAACTTTAACCCCCACCTCTCTCTTACAAACGACCTCCCCCCCTTTCAACTGCCCATCTTCTCAATAACATTCTTAAAATGTTCGAAAGGATTCACAGTCAGTTATCATTTTATTTTTTTCATTCAAACATTTTTGGAACAGTAAATTGCTTTCTTAGTGTTGTGTTCAGAGCTACAAAACGACATATTCAAGAAAATTAGTAATGTATCCATCAAGAAAAAACAATTTTAAAAGGATCAAATGTCAAAATAATGTTTTGCCCAGGAGATAAAGCCTAGAATTATAGTTTTATAATATCGATTATATCAATACAATAAAGACAACTTTTTTATTCAAGTTCTGATTGTTATCATGGTTTTTTCTAATCATATGTTTACAAGTAATCAAAGAGAAGCTTTTTTTATTAATAGATTTTCTTGACTTATATGTTTATGTGTATTATACTGTTAAACAGATTGATTGAAATCAAAATTAAAATCGAAAGTTGTCTTAATAGTATTGCTATAATCGCCTACCACCACTGTAATTGTTTTTTTACATTAATTGAACCATTTGAGCGATTTTTAAAAAAATAAGTTAAAACATTTTCCGATTCTGCACTTCTAGTTCGCTGTATAGAAGCTTGGGAAATGTGAAATGTCGGTGTCTGTTGAAAAAGGAATTTAATATCTAAATATTGTCATAGCAATTAAATAGTATTCCATTTCAAGCTATAAGTCCCGGTACTTCAATTATTGTTTTGAAAAAACGTGTAAGAGATTGGATTGTTTTTCCCACTATAATCCTTGCATCTTTGCTGTACGATATCTTGTAGACCTTTAATATTTAAAACTATGAGTTCTGTTAAATCAAATCAAAGTTTGAAAATTAAAAATTTGCACCAAAAGTTTGCAAAGATATAGGGATAAGAACTCATTCTGTTAAATATTTGATTAGACTTTGCCATTTCTAACTTGATTTAATTTGTAGAATGATGAGAACGAACGGATCTCTAGTCTCCGGAACGGGTTGGAGAATGAGAGGAGAAGGATTGAGGAGAGGGAGGAGAAGGTGCGAAGGGAGTGTGTGGAGGAGGTTTAGAAGGGGGGAGTATGAAACAAGAAATGCTGATGAAATCTTTAGTTCTTCAACAAAAATATTTTTTTTACTTACCAACAAAAAAATAAGAAGCAACAAATGTTACTTTAAAGTTTAAATCTGTATCCGACATTAAGTCGGGATTGGGGGTGTGTATAACTAACGCTGCCAAAAAAAATGCTAACAGCTCTTTAAATCATTTTTTAAGAAAAAAAGCAAATTTTAATTATCAATCAATTTCAATTTTTTCAAAGAAAACTGCAGTGTTAGTGCAATACAAACTGGGAATGCAAAGAAACGGTATTGGTTAAGTGTCTAGCGGAGTAAGAATTAGGTCTTTTTTATTTTAAAATATGTTGAATTCTGCAAATTTAATTCATGTCCTCAGCAGCATAAATCCTCAAATCACTTTTAAAGAGAGAACCAAAAAATGAAAAAAGGATATCACATTTATCCTTGATTAAAGGTTTAAAGGGTACCGTACTTGAAATTACGTCAAAATTAAAAAAAAAATTAAAGAGGTACCACCAACAGAACCAACTGAAATACAATTCTTTTATAAACGTTAAAAATATAAAATACTACAAGAGTATATATGTGAAAAGCTGGATTCTGGAATGTTCTCCGAAGAATAAAAATATTTATGAAATTCCGGTTTAGTATTGCCAGGCTTTAACTTGAGATGAAATATATTTTACACAATATTCACAAATGTGACACAACTATAGGCTCAATGAGAAGTTCAAATACATTTATTGTAAAAGAACGACTTCAACTTGAACCTTGGCCCTCACTGGAAGGGGTGGGAGAATTCTACTGGCTATTTTTTTTGTAGACTTTATTCTTTTTATCTTTTTTAAATAACAAAGTAATAGTGGTCGACCAGCCGATTTTTTTTATCAAAAAGATCTGTAATATCATGTGAGTTAATGTTCATTGTTGGAAAATAGAAATTATTTGATTTTAGTTTTAGGTTTTTAAAAACTCAACATTACATATGTCAAAGTTTGATTTGTTGAAAAATTCTCTGTCCCTAGATGAAATGTGTCCCTTTCCCTCCTTAATCCTTGGTCCAATCCATTTCCATTCTTTCGCACTCGATAACATTTCTGAGTTAAAATAATATTTGAGAACGTTATAGAAAAAGTCGGGTTCCACTCTGAAATCGATTTTTATGCTTTATTCCAAGTATTCTCTATTTTATTTCACACAATAAAAAATATTGTATTATTAATGTTATAAAAGGTTTTGGTGGCTTAAATCGATTTAGGGGTTTTTAAAAACTACAAATCGAACGAAGGCTATTTTTAAAAATACGACTAAATTGCCATAAACGTAAAACAAATTTCTTAACACCCCCACCCCTCAACGTTTTTTGTAAAAGAAAATCTCTCTGAAAAATCAGCTCATGAAACTTATCAAATATGCCAGAAGAGTTTGATTAATTTTATGAGAATATTTGATCAAAATAAAATCAGCAGAAACTTCATAAAATCACAAAATTTATTGTTAAATAATCTAAATTATGTTTATTTTTATTGTTTCTATTTTTGCATTTATGAACTAACTTAGCAGAATGTTCAGATATTTATGAAACTATAGACTAAAAGTCTCCATTTCTTTTTACAATTTTATCTTAAACTTAGGTCAGTCATCAATGAATAAAAGTAATTAACAGCTTATTCTTGAAATACAAATTTTTTTTTCTTGCAAAACTTGGTTTTAACTTTTAAAACTTTAAAAACTTGACACTGAAATTTATCTTTTTTTGTATAAAATGTTAAATATCATAAATCGTGCGATGACTAAAATTGTCTTATGTATTGTGTACACTGTACAGTATATATTAAGAAAACAAGAGTAAAATATTCCTCTTGTTTAAAATATTCAAACTAGATTTAGTTTTTACCTTTGAAATACTTTCAGACTTGTTAAAACTACATTAGCTTACTTTTCAAATCTAAAAACAAAACAAACAAAAAAAAAACCTTCCCCCTCCCCCTCCCTTCCATACCCTTTTGTACACAATAGGGATGATAGGGATGAAATGTAACTGTACATTTGTCTCAAATTCCAATTCTATATCTGAACTCTGGTTCTTTAAAATTACATAACTGCAGACCCCCGGGACAACTAACGTTATTTGTACAGAGATCGGAACTTTGATGTTGATATTGTTAATCTTGAGATCTCGAGATTAACAATACAAAAGTTTTGATTTCTCTATCCATACACGGTGTCCCAAAAAAAACATGGAAATTCAGTGACGAATTGGATATCGTCTTTGTTATGAATTAGCATTGTAATACCTAATTTTAAAAGCCATAATATCATTATGTCTGCTAGAGTCTATTTTATAAATGGGTAAAAGACTGTGTCTATAATGTCTCCGTAAGATGAACAGTGAAGACGGACAAGTTTACTCTGTTCGTATACTGCAATTTTCTTGTTTTACTAAGTACACCCTTATACAGTCAAAACATAAACAAACAAATGTGAACATAGCAGACGAAACTCTTACAGATTACAGCTTTCTCAGTAGGTATCACTATGCTAAATCAAAGAATTATTTATAAAGACGATATCGAATTCGTCACTGAATTCCCATGTTTATTGGAACACCCTGTAGGATTATAGAAAACTAAGCGGGATAGTACACAGATTGAATCATCCCCGGCCTCGTTTTTTTTAAGTTCGATTCAGATCAGTACCCTTACATGTTATCTGATCAATAATGTGGATGATATCGTTCATTGTTTCAGAAACCTAAATTTAAAAGAATCAATTTTCAAATAGAAAATAATGGATAGTTCATGCTTTTTTTATCAGATGAAGCTTTTGAGAATGCCTGCATTAATCGGGCTTGCCACTCTACGAATAAAGAAACTACATTCACATTCCCTTTAATATTCATGGTCCACCTAGGTGCTGGCCGAGGTGCAGAGGTTGAAGGCGGAGGCCAGCAGGATGGTTAAACTCCTCGCCCAGGAGATGGAGGAGGAGGAGAAGGAGATGTCCGAGGACAGGTACAAGTAAATATATGCTATACAGTGGTAACTAGAAGCTAGTGAAGCATGACGAGAACTACAAATATTTTTTTATACTTCAATCTAAAAATTAAAACGTGAGAAAATTGTTTAATTTTCATAAAATTACTTTTTTAAAACAATACAAAAATTGATTAGAGTAACATTTTTAGTAACGGTTAAATTTTAAATTGAAAACCCCTAGGAGACCTTTCAACGTAAGGAACGAAAGACGACGACAATAAATACACCTCTTTCTGGTCACCACTGTTTACTTTCAAAAATTATATTTTAAAATAGCTCTAATTTAAATTGTTTTGGAAAGTTTTTAGAAAATGAACAGGGCTGAAAGCTAAAGTTTCTAATAGAGATTTTTTTATAAACACTAAACATTTATCCTGTCATTTATTCCAGCCGTTCCAGTAATAAATCCACTGTTGTACATAATTTTTATAAAATTTGTTTTGTTTAGTTTTTATCTTTGTTATTTCTGGAGTGTAATTTTATTTCCAATTTTTTGTATCATTAGTTTTGTTCATCTCTGATCCCACTAATAATTATGGATGATAATAAGCGTATGTAATATTCTCTTTTTATTATAATATTCTGGAGAATTGTTCACTGAGCTCAATTAGTACTTTATTAATATATTGTAAACTCTTATTGATTACTGATATTATGATTTATGCTAGCATGCTTATACAGAGAGGATGGAGAATTATAGATTTGACAGTTATATTGACATAGGTGCAAGAAACGGGCCAAATATGGATCTTTCTTCTCTACCTTTTCTAAGATCTGTTTAAAAAAGCACAAACATACTTTTTTCGCTCTAAAATTAAGCCCTTACACATTATTTTTCTCAAAAAATGGATTGGCTGTACGTAGAAACTTGGAGATAGACAACTTTTGCGCTCGATAAATTTAAATATGCTGAAACTAAATGATAAAATATAAGATCTGCAGTAACTTATATTCAACTGTCTGAAATTTCAAACTTCTTATCTCTTAATATCACTCAGAAATCCATTGATCATTTTAGAGAAATAAAAACAAACTTAATGGATTCTCTTTGCTAATAATATTCTTTCCTACTATTTTTGAAAAAGAAATTTGGAATCATAAAAAGGCATTGGGTCTTTGCCACAAACTCAAGTTTTCTAATCCCTATAATTTTGCCACCTGATGGTGGAAACCTTTGATATTTTAGATGTATAATTTAAAATATCTAAGGTTTACATCATCAGGTTGCAAAGAGATATAAATCATATAATTAGAGTTTGTGGTAAAGACTTAATTCCTTTGCACCAATTATTGGTTTGAATTTAAAAGTTCTTCTATTGATGGGTTTTTCGTCATTGTTTTGAAGTCGCAAATCCAACTAATCATTAATTTAATCCCAATGGCATAAATCTCGGTAAAATTATAAAAATAGTTTGGTTGTAATTAATGTGTATAAAGAATAATTTAAAATTCAAAATATTCTTCCATAGTAGTAACATATTGATACAAATACAACACATAAATAAGAAAATAGACTCAAGTGCTTTAAAAAGAAATTATTTCAATTTTATATTTAGAAAACGAACTTTGAACCAGGAGGTTTCCAGTCTCCATCTCATCCTCGAGATGAGGACCTCTGAGCTGAGGACGCTCAGGGACAAGAACAATGTTCTGGAGGACAAGATGGAGAAGTTCGAAGTAATCAAGGTATTCTGAAAAACTTTAGATTAATAAAATAAAGATAAATTAATTTGACTTTTATATCAAATTATGTTTCCATTTTTTATTGGAAAAAACGAAGTAAAGAAATTGAAAATATTTATACACAGAAGAAAAAAATGCGGGAACTATTTGAACAAAAAAATGTTCAGGAGGAGTTAAATAAATCCAGAGCTCGCGTTGAGGATTTAGAAGAACAGTTGAGGATGAAGGACAGGATGGAAAAATAAGTATTCTCCCTCCCCCCCTCTCCTCCCCTCCCCTCCTCCACTCTTTAATCATATTTTTATCCTTTTAAGCCAGGCATTCGGACAGCCTGTATTATAGAAGTGTCAACATTTACATTTATAATATCCATGAATAACTAGAATAAAATAAGTTAAAATAAATTTTTTAAAACAAAAAATAAATAAAATTTGAAATTTCCGAATTTTAGAATGATTTAAAGTATAGATTGATTACCCTCTTTCACTGTTTTATTCTTATATTTATGTTTTCTATGTTCATTCATATGCAAATTATATTCACAATGTATTTCTAGTCAAAATCTAGAAAGAACATGGATAAATCAGGCCATTTTTATTCGAAAATTTTAGAATTTTAAAAGAAATCAAAAATGTTTCCCAACATAAAATTTTATTATTCCCTTTGGAGTAATTTTAGCAACAGGATCTGATCCAATTTGTGTTTTATCTTCAAAATGTGAAATTGTCTGTCTTCAAATGAATTTTCTGTCAGAAATTTGATTTTTGTTAAAAAGAATTCTGAAAAGTATTTTGTGCACAGTGAAAAAGCGCAATTTATGTCATCTATGTAAAATTTAAGAGATAATTAGAGAAGTAAAAATATTATTGATATCCCTTGTTTACAGTTAGAGATGTAACGATAGGATACATTTTTATTCTATTCTGTACATATAAATCAAATCTAACTAACCAAAAACTCGAGAGAAACAAACTGTAAACTGGTTGTTAGGATGCCTCCCCCCCCCCTGTTAACTGGTTGTGATGACCCCCCCCCCTGTAAACTGGTTGTGAGGAACAACCTAGATATTGTCTTATATATTTCAAACTGAGAATATTTCAACTTGAAACCCTTCTCCTGGCTTTGGCAGGATTCTTGAAACCAATTCTACAATTTAACATTTTAAACAAAGAAAATGAAAGGATGAATGAAGGATGGATGAATCAATAATTGAGTAAATGAAAATGAAAGGATGAATGAAGGATGAATAAATCAATAATTGAGTAAATGAAAATGAAAGGAAAATATTAAGGATATGAATGTAAGAAAAAATCAACCAACTAGTTAAAAGTTATATCTGCCAAAATAATTAAAGCTAAATTTTACAATAAAATTTTTATCTATCTATTCTTATAAAACTCTTGCTATCATATGGCTTTCTCTCTATTTACCTATGTATCTATCTACATTCTACATAAATCTATCTCTCTTTCTATCCGACTATATCAATCTATTTATGTGTCTGTACCTATAAATCTATCTATGTGCTCATCTATCTTTATATGTGTTTAATTATCTATCTATTAATCTAATATATCTAAATATATGTATAGATCTATATCTAAATAATATATCTTTATATCTATCTATCTATCTAGGCAGCTATCGTATGAGAAGTGTGAGCTCGAGCAGAGTATGGAGCAGAAGAGCAGAGTTGCTGAGAGGATGAGTCAGAATGTTGAGGAGCTTCAGTGGAGGATCAGGTATCAAGTCAAAGGAGTTGAGTCTTTTTTATATTCTTTAGAAATTTCTATTCTTAAATACATGGGTCCCCTTTAACAGTTAAATAGGAAGACGACATTTAGACAATCCCACAAACTCAATTTTTTTAATCCCTGATATAATCTTTGCAACCTGATGGTTTAAAAGACATTGAGTTGCCAATAAAAAAGGATTAAAAAATCGGATGAAATGTAAAGCTGTATCAAAATCTCCATGTTTACAATGCTAGCTTCTCTTTCTGAAGAGATATAAAGAGGAAAAATAAAAATTAAAAATACTTTTTACTTTTATAATGATTTCTACAGAAACATCGATTATAAATATATAAGATAAACTAAACATGAGTCTCTAAATTGATTAATATGATGAAACACATATTATAAAGGGACATGTCCGATTAATATGGTTGAAAATATCGCAGGTTTCCTACCCGCGCAAATCTGCCCCTTAGTAAACGTAAATTCAACCTATATGTAGCATAAAGTCTGACCGCATCAACATTGTTGCACCGGCTAGTCCTGTCCATAAAGCTAGGTACAGTACAAACTGGGACCGGAAAGGTTGACCCGGCTCGGAAATTCAAATGTACTACGGCAGGGTGTGTATCTTTGTTTATGACAATTTTCCCATTGTTTCTGAAGCAAGTGTTTCGCTACTTAGCGATTTCCCTACAGACCTAATGAAATCTTTATAAGTACCGAGTGGTATTTCTCTGGACAGGATTGTAAGACTTCCTTCTCTCAACGCTCTCCATAACAAAAGGATGATAATAAGGTTCCGAACGTTTATTTCTCTGAGTCTTCAATCTAAATAATTTTTATAAGCCCACAGAAAAAGCATTGAGTGATAAATCATACAAGCACAGCAATAAATCAACTCAGGCATTAAAAAACTGTGGAATGGAACCAATACATTACATTATAAGATATCAACCATAATCGAACATAAATAAGCAAGATTCATATAAATATAAAGCATAATTACCGCAGTGATCCTAGAATTTCACACGGTTTAATAATAGACGATCTTACATGAAAAACAAATATATACTAAGGTAGAATCTGCCCGCTTCCACGCAGAAAACTTGCGCATGCGTAGTCGGTCTGGAAACAGCTTCTAAAACTAGCTTTTTACAATACGTTCTGTACAGATCCGCAGGGAGAACTCAGGGATTCACAGGGGCATCACATAGACTTTATGAACGCAGCATGGCTCGCGTAACAGCAAGAAATGCGATAAGAGTACGTCACAGTCCCGTAAAGATACTGTTAATAATGTTCCTGTTTTGGGTTGATTATAAAATCTGCAAGACGTTTTTTATAGAATATTTGCAAAAGCTTTTATAAACCTTGATTGAGGGTTTTATGTTATTGCCTACGGTTGGTTAACAAAAGGTCTGCGGGTGGGAGTTGAGCCAAAATATTCTCGGGTTTTATCCTTCCATCCTTCCAAACTTTTTAGATAAAAATAAAAATATTTCTTCATTTTTTTTACCATCTTCGTCGAATAGTTTTATCTGGGAAAAGTTTAGAAGTAAGCTTGACTTGTAGACACAAACTTAAATTGAAGAGGATTAAGATCAGGGGATAAGGAGAAGGCTTTTACAAAAAATCATAATTTTGATTTTTAATTTGTTTTAGAAATAATTTTGAGTTGCCATTGTCTGTTGTTGGATCAGAACAGCCATCTTCTCTTCCAGATTGTTCCGCGCATTCCAGGTAAAAAAACTGTACACTGTACAGCCCATGTATTCTTGATTGATTGAGTGATTGATAACTATACTTTTTTAATATGGATTTAAGAAAGTTTTCTTTCTTATTTAACCCTCGATTTGTAGAATACAGCATTTCCGACATGTACCCTTTTTACATCTTTTGTCATAGCATTTATTTGTTAAACTTTAAAACGCTTTTTATTGTTTATAAATTGTCAAAATAAGAAATTTTGCTGTCGTTTAAAGGTACCATCGTGAATTGAACATGTCCAATTCTTTCATTGAATTCGTTTGAATATACATAGTCCCTGTGATGCATTATTTAAAAAAGGGGTTCGAATTTTATTCTTTTTCTTTTTTATTTCATAACTTCCTCCCTTCTTCCTCTTCCCCCTTTCTGACCAATTTTTGATAATTGATTGTCCACCATGTCCAACCCCCCCTTGGGATTGAGATATTTTCTAAATTAACCTTTTCTATTTCTGGAGAAAAATGAGAATTTAGTTTCCCTGGTTTCCCCCCAATTTTCTCTGAAGGTTTAGTTATTTCCAGTTCACAAAGGAAGCCTCAAAATATTTACTTTAGAGCTGAGTCCAGTGTACTCAAGGGGTGGGGGGGGGGAGCTTGTGTTTAATGCAAGAAAGGGATTTCTTTAAAATTTTACTATGAAGGATCAGAAAACCTCAAGAACTAGTTTTCTAAAGCAATACCACTAATTCTGAACTGAACTAAGAATGGCAGGAATCGTTGATTGTTACATTCAAACGTTACAATAGAATTATCAGACAATCCCTATTTCACTCTCCCTGGTTTTACACTCCTTGGCAAATCCACAAAGGATGAGACTATAAAGATGAAGAGACTGTACGGTTTTTTTTCAGTTTTTTTTTGTTTCCTGCAACTGTGAACTGTTCCTTTCTTATTACATATTAGGGTTAGCATTTAAAAACTTTATATACTATGCATTATGTAAGACAGAAAACAAATACCAGTCTTTTACAAACTTTTGTTTCGTTTAGGTCTCCAATAACAAGCCCTGTTCATAGACCTAGCAGTACCCCTCTCCCCATCCTCGGGGGCAGAAGCCCCACCAACCTTTACTCCCCTTGCTACAGGGGCGACCAGTCGTCCAACAAGCAGCCATCTCCCTCCGTCCTCAACCAGAAGAATACTTTATCTAATGAACCAGGTTTTCCATATTTTGCTCCGACCCAACCCTCCTCATCCTCCTCCACTCCTCTCTTCTCCGTATCTGAAAAAGTGCAACCAACCTCGAGTGAGAAATGCGGGAACAACAACCCTGATTTATCCAAAAATAACAAGAGAGAAAACCAGCAAAATATTAATAAGGAAACAACACCCATCACTACCACCATCCACAACAATAACCCAATGCATACAGCATTCAACAACAACAACAACTATACATCACAAAACATTAATATTAACAATATAACCACGAGTAACACATCTAACACAATGCAGAGTATGAGCCCTGCAATCAGCTCCCCAACCCACCAGAAATGGAACTGTTTCAGTGTTAGCAGAGAGATGATTGAAGCAACCTCGTTCCAACCAACGTCTCAGGTACAATTCTACTTTCTTCCGGTTTTAAATTTGAAAATTGGGATTTTCTCAAATCAAATTGGACAAAAAGATCTGTCAAATTGCAGATTTTATGTTTAGTTGCAACTGGCAACTGTACATACTGATGTCTCGTTTTAGCAATACCAAAATATTGAACAATGTACAGTAAGAAACAGAAAACTTCGGGAAACAAGACGACATTATATAAATATTGATGTTGTTAGAAAGCAACAAGTTATACTGCACTGCACTACTGCTGCGACTGATATTCATTAAACTCTTTAAAACATGACTGAAGCCTAAAAGTCGTGTTTCTATTTCACAGTTTTTGGTTCTCACTGTGTAGCTATTTTCTCTTTATTATATGGACTTACGTCGTGATTTGAAGGGATCAACTCGATATTTCCAATTAACAACTGGACCCTTTGTTCTACAGATCTTTGTCTTAGCAAAGATTATTTAGATTTCCTTGTTTTATCTGAATATTTTTAATTTTTAATTTTCAATTTTGGTTTCTTTCAAAAGTTTCTTGCAAATGTATCCAGCAGAAACAGGAATGGAAATAGGCAGAAAATATATCTTTTTTGGATAGAAAAGAGGCGATATCTTCTCCATCGTTACTCAAATAAAGACAGTATACCGCTGTGAATCTGACATTACATAAAATTACGCCGACAGGCCCTTATTAACTATACACAGTCCCTTTACGCCTTAACTATACACAGTACCTTTAATCCTTAACTATACACAGGCCCTTTAATCCTTAACTATAGACAGTAACTTTAATCCTTAACTATACACAGTCCCTTTAATCCTTGACTATACACAGTTCCTTTAATCCTTAACTATACACAGTTCCTTTAATCCTTAACTATACACAGTCCCTTTAATCCTTAACTATACACAGTCCCTTTAATTCTAAACTATACACAGTCCCTTTAATTCTAAATTATACACAGTCCCTTTAATTCTAAACTATACACAGTCCCTTTAATTCTAAACTATACACAGTCTCTTTAATTCTAAACTATACACAGTCCCTTTAATTCTAAACTATACACAGTCCCTTTAATTCTAAACTATATACAGTCTCTTTAATTCTAAACTATATATCGAAAGGTTGACTGTAACCCAATCTGTAAACTGTCAGTGACAATGTTAATCCTGGATCATATCATCAAACTAACTTATCATAAATATTTATAAAGAAAACTTCTCATCAACTTCTTTAAATAAATAATATTTTTTTAAAACATATTTTTCAAGATTTTTTCTAAATAATTAAAATTGTGAATATTATGCTTCCGAGATATGTAAATAGAATTGATTGACTCTTAGGGCGGAATCCAACAAGGGTTTAAATTATTTTTTTTTTAGATTTAACAATTTTTTTTTTTCTAAATTTTCTGATTTTAATGGTCCGTGATTTGACTTTTAAGTAATAAATTATTTAAAAGCTTTGTAGGATGAGAATATTTACCCTGTATTGTTGTAGGATGAGAATATTTACACTGTATTATTGTAGGATGAGAATATTTACCCTGTATTGTGTTGTAGGATGAGAATGCTGCGACAAGTGATTTCTCTCCGAGCTCGGACGGACTAGCGACGAGTCTTCCTGGAGAACAGGGTTCCGAAACCGACAATAACCTTCAGGAGAACGACAGCGACAAAGAGCTGGACGAAGAGAGCGACAAAGATGATGTGGACAGCCTGGACGAAGGTTTGGGAGATATTTCCAGTGAGAATGAGCACCCGGAGAGTCCACAACCTGAGAAGCTGGATCAAGGATCGGAGAAGGACGGAGCTCCTCTTAGTGAACGCAAACTAAGCATCACCAGTCTTCAAAACTCTGAGATGAAACTGGAATTATCCAACCCAACCGTGTCCCCCAGTAAAATCCCGCAGAGCCCCACTAAAAACTCAGATAACAGATTACCGTCTAGAATATCCTTTGAAACCCCGCTCTAAACACTCTTAACCCATAAACCCTTGAGTAACTGTCATGGAATATCGCCTAGCTAGAATGATTAAAAAATTACAATTTTTTTTACAAAAAGTAGGCTCTACATACTTAGAAGTGATTGAATTTAATGTGAAACAATCAAATCTTTTTTTGTCAATTGAACTAAAACCCCTTGCTCTTCCATCGAATTTTCTTTCTGGTAATCTCTTATACTTAAGGTAAAGGGAAAGAATGCGTAAGTTTTTTGCAAATGTAATAAGATCAGAACTAAAAGTAATTTCTTTAATTGTTCTAATTTCATTTTGTGATAAAATGATGAAATTGGTCCGGTTTCAACTTTCAGTTTACAATCCCACAACAGGGTCGTCTTTTATCTTTTCATCTTTGGTATTTTCTACATGTTCTACAGTCTACAAGTATATACACCTGTCCAAGGGTATAATTCATCTCTCAAAATTCTAAACATGATCCACCCATTGCCATAACTATTGAAAGAATTCCACTCGTTGTATTGCTGACGTGCATCCTCCCCCCCCCCACATCACAAATGGCCATATCATTGTTCAAAATTGTCAAGACTTAAAAAAATTGTAATAACATCAGGTTGATTTTTGTTTAAGTTAAACCCCTAAATTGATTTGTTTTATTTGATAAGATTCCTTCTATCCCTAACCAAGAAAAAAAATGAATAAACCCTAGAATTTAGGATGATGTTGAAATTCAATAAAATTTTGCAAAACTTTATCTTTTTTGTACAGAAATAAAGTTTTGCTTCCATGCATATCATATTTAATCTTTAAGATCCAAACTTGTATATAATTTAACAGACAGGCAGGTTAAAAATTAGAGTATATATTTAAGAAAGGATTGCAAAGAGATATTTTGAACTGCCTGCACATGGTTTCTCTTAAGATGTTTCTCTATGCATCCTATTTTAATATCAATACTTATTTAGTCTGTATACATAGCTGTCAATTATGTATAACTAAACCTATAATATATTTGTATATGTATGATGCATTCTGCCATTAAATGCTTAATTAGAAATAAATTGGATTAGATTGGTTACATAATTATCTTTATTATTTTTACAACATTTTGTGTGGATATATACTTCTTTTGTTAGGTTTACAACATTTTGTGTGGATATATACTTCTTTTGTTAGGTTTACAACATTTTGTGTATACATACTTCTTTTGTTAAGTTTACAACATTTTGTGTATAAATAGTGTGGATATATACTTCTTTTGTTAGGTTTACAACATTTTGTGTATACATACTTCTTTTGTTAAGTTTACAACATTTTGTGTATAAATAGTATATACTTCGTTTGTTTGGTTTACAACATTTTTTGTGGATATACATTTCTTTTTTATTAATTTTACGACATTATGTGTGGATATATACTTTATTTGTTTGTATTATAACAATTTTACGTGAGAAAGATTATTAATTTTAACCACGGATGTACATTTTATTACGAAAAAAAAAACATTTTGAGTTTTCTAATTTTCTTTTTGAATGATTTTCGATCTTTCTTTTAATTAGAAACAACATTGTACTTTAATTGCTTTAACAGATATATCTCTGCAAGTCTAGGCACATTTTAAGAAATACAATGTAATATGATACATAGGGCTCCACGAAAGCTATGCACCAGTAGTTTTTGCTTCAATCCATTATGGCAATTCTATGTGAAAACTTGCATTGCCCCGCAAGCCCTATCCGCAGCGCTCGGCCCTCTTTCAGTCTGATCCTAATTCCTAAGGCGCTGAAAGAAAGTCAATGACTGATGTGAATTGAATTGATTAGCATGTTCTTAAATGTATCTATATATCAAAAATAATATACGCATCACTAAATATGAATACTTCATTTATTCGGTTTCGAGCTTGTTCAGTATTTCAACCGGTATCCCAACGCAAGAACTCAGCGATAACATTATTGACCGTTGCTCAGTATTTTAACCGGTATCCCAACGCAAGAACTCAGCGATAACATTATTGACCGTTGTTCAGTATTTTAACCGGTATCCCAACGCAAGAAGAGATAACATTATTGACCGTTGTTCAGTATTTTAACCGGTATCCCAACGCAAGAAGTCAAAGATAACATTATTGACCGTTGTTCAGTATTTTAACCGGTATCCCAACGCAAGAACTCAGCGATAACATTATTGACCGTTGTTCAGTATTTTAACCGGTATCCCAACGCAAGAAGTCAAAGATAACATTATTGACCGTTTTTGATTTTAATCGTTGATAAATGAGTATCAGAAAAATGTCGTACTTTTTATGAGCTCGCCATTATGAAGTTCAAGTTCAGGGTTTGTTCGCACAGATTATTTTGATTTTATTAATTAAAGTGCGATCTGTTTTTTTATTTAGTCAATTATATCATCGTTAACATTATTTTGACCTCAAAATGTTTGAACTGATTTTATCAAAGAAATCGTGTGACCTCTCATCCACGTGGAAAGTGTGTCTGTTTTGAATCTTCCTGATAAAAACAAATCTCAAGAACTGAAGAGTGTACGACAACCCAGACCGAAATATGTTTTATTTAAATGTGGAACTAACACCTATTTTTTACTCTGTGAGGTTTGGAGCATCATTATCACCTAATTTTAAGATTATTTCCTGTCTAGGATTGTCAAGTTCTTGTGGTCAGTTAAGTCAAGTTAAAAAAGCCAAGATTATCGATAGAAGAGAGGCGCGATATATTATAAATAAGGAAATAACAGTAAAGCAACCTTTTTTGGACCGTACTGTTCATGTCTGTGTGTCTGAGTGTGTGTCTGTGCACTCCATTATTATGTAAATATTCTGCGCGTGGGTATACCCCAACAAAGGGAGGTTCCTTGTAAATTCATTTCCCGCCATAAATATATTCTTGAATACAGCTGTCGCTGTCGTGCACTACTCTCCATACACTGTGTACATAACATATATTCCTGAATACAGCTTTCCTGCACTACTCTCCATACACTGATTGTACAATGTACATACCATATATTCTTGAATAAAGCTGTCATGCACTACTCTCCATACACTGTACACATAACATATATTCTTGAATACCGCTGTCCTGCACTACTCTCTATATACTGACACCCTAATGTACATACAGGGTGTCCCACGAAACATGACAATAGCAAGACGACTTGAAAGTCGTCTTTGGTATTTAGATTTATTTGTGACATTTAGTATTCTATCTACTTTAACATGTATGATTCCTGAAACAATTATCACATAATTCTCCTAGCCCTGGCATTTCCAAAAAGTGGTCTGTGTTTTTTGTGCTTTCAATATTACCGGAGATATAAAGAGTTTGGTTCAGATTTTAATTTTGTTAAATAAAAGCAAAATTGTCGAAATCTGAACGAAATTCTTCATATCTCGGGCATGCTGTCCTGCACTACTCTCTATACACTGTACATAACATATATTCTTGAATACAGCTGTCCTGCACTACTCTCCATACAGTGTAAATAACATATATTCTTGAATACAGCTGTCCTGCACTACTCTCTATACACTGTACATAACATATATTCTTGAATACAGCTGTCTTGCACTACTCTCCATACACTGTACATAACATGTATTCTTAAATACCGCTGTCCTTCACTACTCTCCATACAGTGTACATAACATATATTCTTGAATACAGCTGTCCTGCACTACTCTCTATACACTGTACATAACATATATTCTTGAATACAGCTGTCCTTCACTACTCTCTATAAACCGACTGTACAGTGTACATAACATATATTCTTGAATACAGCTGTCGTGCACTACTCTCCATACACTGTACATAACATATATTCTTGAATACAGCTGTCGTGCACCACTCTGCACACACTGTACATAAAATATATTCTTGAATACAGCTGTCGTGCACTACTCTTCATACACTGTACATAACATGTATTCTTGAATACAGTTGTCCTGCACTACTCTGCATACACTGTACATACCATGTATTCTTGTATACAGATGTCGTGCACTACTCTCCATACAGTGTACATAGCATGTATTCTTAAATACAGCTGTCCTACACTACTCTGCATACACTGTACATAACATGTATTCTTAAATACAGATGTCGTGCACTACTCTCCATACACTGTACATAACATATATTCTTTAATACAGCTGCCCTGCAATACTCTCCATACACTGTACATAACATATTCTTGAATACAGATGTCGTGCACTACTCTGCATACACTGTACATAACATATATTCTTGAATAAGATTTCGTGCACTGCTCTGCATACACTGTACATAAAATATATTCTTGAATACAGCTGTTATGCACTACTATCCATACACTGTACATAACATATATTCTTGAATACAGCTGTCCTGCACTATTCTGCATACACTGTACAAAAAATATATTCTTGAATACATATGTCGTGCACTCCTCTTCAGACACTGTACATCACACATATTCTTGAATACAGATGTCGTGCACTACTCTCCATACACTGTACATACCATGTATTCTTGTATACAGCTGTCCTGCACTACTCTGCATACATTGTACATAACATGTACTCTTAAATACAGATGTTGGGCACTACTCTTTATACACTGTACATAACATATATTCTTGAATACAGCTGTCGTGCACTACTCTGCATACACTGTACATACCATGTATTCTTGTATACAGCTGTCCTGCACTACTCTTTATACACTGTACATAACATATATTCTTGATACAGCTGTCCTGCACTACTCTGCATACACTGTACATACCATGTATTCTTGTATACAGCTGTCCTGCACTGCTCTGCATACACTGTACATAACATATATTCTTGAATACAGCTGTCCTGCACTACTCTGCATACACTGTACATATAACATAAATTCTTGAATACACCTGTCCTGCACTACTCTCCATACGCTTTATACAGTGTACGTTTTAAACTACACAGGTGGCTGATTATCGCGGATTTTTTATATGGTTGGATTTGCTATTTTATTAGCTGTTTAAAAAGTCTCAATTATAGTGAGAAATCTTTAGGGTATAGATTAAGAAAGGTGCAAGCTGAAAGGTAGTAAAGGAAGTTTTTATTTGATATCGTTCGTTGATCCCAGAAATGATTGGGAAATTGAAATAAAACCCAACTAAAAGCCATAATTTGATATACATCATGAATGGTATGTAGGGCGCGCTAGGTGCGAAAACTCTTATTATTTAACGCCCCTTAGGAAATCCTTATCTACGCTCCTTAAAATATTTTTTAAAAATTAAATTTTTTTAATAGAATTAGATTTTAATCTGTTTGATCAGGGGCGTATGAGAGATGATTGAAGCAACCTCGTTCCAACCAACGTCTCAGGTACAATTCTACTTTCTTCCGGTTTTAAATTTGAAAATTGGGATTTTCTCAAATCAAATTGGACAAAAAGATCTGNATAGGCCTCTGCATGAAATCAGGCTACTTTTGATGATCGATGCATGTACACCAAGGACCCTTCTTTAGAAAAGTTAAATATTCTATACCGGTCCAGTGTACTTTACTATATAGTGTATAGAGCATGCACATACGGAGCACAAGAAATGCCGATATTTTGAAATTCCTTGAAGAAATCCAATATATTGTTTAAAGACTGAATTTCTAACTTTACAAATATGTCAAATATTTAGAATAAATGGATTAATTAAATTAAGTATCAATAGTAATATATTATTTAGCATCAAATGCTCTCAATAAAAATATTCTCTTTTATTATTATATTTATTATTCTATTATTTTATTATCATATTTTATTATTATATTTATATATATCAACAGGATATCAACGAAAACTTTTAACGCCATTAAACATAGTTTCCATACAAGATTGATACGTTTTACACAGAAATTAAATGAACTGTAGATTTAATTCCAAATGACATGTTTGGTTCACAACGATACCCTGAAAAGCTTTGCCTGAAACGAATCCATTAGATATCTATCATGTTCTCTTTAAAAATTGATCATTTTTAATAGTGGTGTACGAAATGCCTTACTCCAATAAGTTCTGTTTTAAGTCTGTACCAATCCAGGTATACCCTTATCTGTATTCTCAAGTATCTATCAATAGAGATACAACCTCTGTATTTGTCAGTATGTATCGTAAAGAAGCAACTCAATCTAGAACTCCACGTTCTACAATAATATATTAGTCTGTATCAAGCCAGATACAACACTCTCTGTATTCTTAATAAGTATCGTTCAGATACTCTCTGTATTCTCAGTAAGTATCGTTTAGATACTCTCTGTATTCTCAGTAAGTATCGTTCAGATACTCTCTGTATTCGCAGTAAGTATTGTTCAGATACTCTTGTATTCTCAGTTTGTAGCGTATAGATACAACTCGCTCTAGAACTCAATGTTCTACAATAATACTTCAGTCTGAATCAATCTAGATACGAAACAATATGAATTCTTTTTGTCGGTATCGTAGAGATACAGCTCACTCTTGAACTCACATGTCAGATCAATAATACTTAAGTATGTATCAATCCAGATACAAGGTTATATGTATTCTTTTAGTCTGTATCCATCAATCGAGATCAACTCAAGCTGACTTTCTGTTTCTCTACAAGAGAATTAATATAAACGTAATGAAGCAAAGATCCATGTCCAACTAATCTATATTTTTAGTTTTATGGTACGTGTTAAAGTAATGAACGTAATTAAGCTAAATCGTAATACATGTTAATGTTAAGGACCGATAGGGTTTCTTCCTCCTTCCCTCCCTCCTATCCTGTATCTCGTCAGATTATAAGATTGAAGATATCGGAATTATCGAATTCTGATCAAACTTTTAGATTATCACTCACAGCCAGATAATAGGCATATTGTCCATCCAAAGAGCCTGAAAAATCTTTCTAAAGTTTGCCTCTAATTAAAATTTGTATTATGAAATACTTTAATATTAATAAAATAATTTCTTTAGTTCTTTTCCGGAGTATAACTTCTTTAAAATTGAAAGGTTTATTTAAGTTTGTTTATTGTTGATAAGGTTGATAATATTTGAAAAGGTAAAAACTACTCGATTAAATAGAAACTATGTTCAAAAGTGAATATTACCCTTTCAGGGGGGGAGGGGTTAATTAGATAAGATTGAAATATGCTCGATTATAAGGGCAAAACTATTCAATAATCACTGATCAGCTGGAAATTAACCGTTGTTTAGCTGGAAACCATGACTCGATTAAATATAAACCACTTAATGATCAGATAAAAACTACTCGATGATTAGATGGAAAATTCTTGATGATTAAGTGTAAAGTTCTTGATGATTAGATGGAAACTACTATAGGATAAGCTGAAAGGTACTTAAGATCATTAGGTCGAAACTACTTAAGGAAACTGCTAGATGATAACTGATGGAAACTACTCGATGAAAAGGTGGAAACTACTCGATGATTATGTGGAAATTATTATATGTACATATGGAAAACTACTAGAGGATAAGCCAAAAACTACTCGATCAATATGTGGAAACTACAAATGCACTTGGAGAAACTACAATATAAGAGAAGCTGAAAGCTACTTGATGATTATATGGAAACTACTCGATGAAAAAGTGGAAACTACTCTGTATGCAGTTAACTATATAAGTAAATTTTATATTAATTGGACCTTCTCCAACTTCTGCTCGCCACACAAACAGAAAACTTTTACCAACTTCTCCTTTCAAAGTTTTATCGTGAGGACAGGAGCAGAATTATTAAACTTATAATATACAGCATGGTCTACTAGGCTTACAGGGTGCTTTATATAATTTTAGTTTTTAAATATTAATTTAAACTTTATACATTGAAGGATTTAACTGCAGTTCGATCCTTCATAATCATGTCCCAACATATTTTGATCCCCTTGCTGTCTCCTAACCAGTTGTTTGTTCTGTTTGCAAACTGTATAGTGCACATAGTGCAGAGAATATAGTTAGCTAGGTTAGAAAGAGATGGATTCAATCCTTTTAAGGATAATTTGCAATTAAATTCACAACTAGTACTGTCTCGAAACATGTTAAAAAATGTTTATGAAAATTCTAAAAAAAATTTAATCTATGATTAATAAAATACAATTTGTTTTGATTTAATAACTCTATGTCCATATATATCATGAATCATGATGTCTTTAAACCTGTCGTTAAACCCTACTATTGTTAAATTTAGCGGTTGCTTGAAGTTTGCAAACCTACCATATACAGGATCTGTGCAGAGGCGTGGCTAGGGATGGGCAATGTTCCGTTAATGAACGGCAGTTTTGAAAAATTAACGAATGAACGGAAACCCTCGTTAATTCCCAGTTCGTTATAAACGAACCAAAAAATATAACTTACAAAATGAAAGGAAAATCAAACAACCATCTTCTGTATTCATGTATAACCAACCACAACAAAACCTAAACTAAACTAAACTAAAAAATATACATTCATTTGGAATTTTAACCAAAATAAATTCAAAGATACAGTAAGAGAACCAAAAAACTGTGAAATAGAAAACGGCATAAATTTACAACACTCTTATGAAAAAGGTCAGTTTAAAGGGAGTGTTCGCGAAATATGAAAGGGGGTATAGGCTTGCGGCGAAAAATAACAAAATAATAATAATATTTCTTCTATCTGTTGCGTCTATAAGGAGAAAATTGTTAAACACGACTAATACCGACGAACGTAGCGTCCGTACAAATTCATAGAGATGCAACATTAAACTCGGATCGTAAACAAATCAATTTAATTCCAAACAAATCATTCAGATATTACAAACAAAAGTCATCGATTATTTTTCGACGCACAAAAAGGTTCTCAAGTAAACCGATTAGTTGTTTAATAAAAGGTTGAGAAAAAATTGACTCTTATTATCGAAAATAAGTAATCATTTTCAGTTATTTGTTTCTTTAATGTCTCATTGTTCACAAAAAGTTTCCTGTAGATTTCCCAGAATTTTGATTGAAAAGATGACATTTGAAGAATTGAAAGAAATTCGTAACGAATAAGAAATTTATTATATGATGAAAAAGAAATATTTGATTCTAACATTGATTTATTGAGAAATCTATTGAAACATATGTTCCTAATCATCTAATTAGTTTACTGTCAAATATTTTTTACATTTTTGTTGATTCTGAAAATGTAACTACCCAAAAGGATGATTTTGAACGGCGACTTTGCGCTCAAACTCAATTATTATTAAAACGTTTTATATTTCTTAAATGAATCCTAAAAAATTTTTCTACATTACTACATTCTCAGTTCAACTACCATACATTATAACCGGTCACTCCCTTTAAATATGATTTAAAAATACTTATCAAAGATTCTAATGATCCTGTAATTTGAATAAGATTTTATTTTACTTCGATTTGATTTTATCCTTATTCCAAGTTTGAGAGCCCCCCCTGAATATTCCTCTCAGCCTAGTGTCATTTATTTTAGGAATTTCTCAGGTTCGAAGCTACGAAGCAAATGTTTAATATTTCAAAGAATTGTTTTGGTTGAATTTTATTCTAAACTCTCGTTAAATGTGTTATACTTTGGGATTCGGGAACATTAAAAGGATTTAGATAAAAATATGGTACAGGGTGTCCCAATTAAAAGGATTTAGATAAAAATATGGTACAGGGTGTCCCAATTAAAAGGATTTAGATAAAAATATGGTACAGGGTGTCCCAATTAAAAGGATTTAGATAAAAATATGGTACAGGGTGGCCCAATTAAAAGGATTTAGATAAAAATATGGTACAGGGTGTCCCAATTACACAGTCATGAAAGTTTTGCATCAATTTTGAAGACCAGGTATTCTTTGGTTAATTTGTATACCTAAATAGCTCCGTAAAACAGCTGTGAACTAATCGGGTACAATTTTTTTTGGCAACTTACATGCCCCAGGGAAAGGTTTATGGACCGTCAAAGTTAAAAAGATTTGACACTGAGAAAAATGTCAACATTTATGATTTTCAAAAATGCACAAATTTAAACAGAAAAATTGCAAAAAAAAATATGATTTTCATTACAAGAAAAATGGCTCCTTAAAGAGCAATATTCAAAACACCAAAACACGGAATCTTTAAAATTAAGAATGAAGGGATATCAATTTATATAGTTTTTATCATTGGGAAACAAAAACAAAAGTCTAATTATCTCAGTTATTGTTAAAGGTAAAAAACAGACACAAATTTTGTTGATTTTTCGATTTTTAAGCTTTTGCTAAATAAAATATTAAAATAAGGAGCAAGAGGATTCGGAATTTCTTTGACATAATCATAATATTTTAACCGAATATGATTTTTGAGTCGTCTATTAATTGACATGGTTAACATGGTAAACCCTACAAAACAATTATATTCTCGATAAAACAATATTAAGCCCGGTTTTTTCACAATTCTAAACTAAATTTGACATGTCTATAATTCAAGTTTATTATTTAAAAAATCCTCTAAAATATAAATTATACATCTTCAGTTTGTATAAACATAAATTGGATTAAACATCCTAAAATGAGAACCTGAAAATTCTGGAATAGGAAGACGACTTTTAGACTCAAGTTATGATTTTAAGTAGGTCAATGAATGAGACACAGCAACTGTGAAGTGTAAACAGATCTATTTTACTTAATAATTGATTTAATCAGTTCCTAGTAAACCTTTTAGCCTAGTAATAACGTCGAAAACACTTAAGTATTGCTTTAAAGTCGTCTTCCTATTCCACAGCTTTCTTGTTTTCGCTGCAAGATTATATATCTGAGTGTGCTAGAGGGGTTTTAACCCTGGTGGTTTGAACTGTTTTCCCCTGGTCTCCTTCAGTATTATGATTCGCATCCTGCAATATTTTTTAATGTTTTAAAAAGCAACCAAATCATCGTAAATACACGTCATCAAAGCGTTATTAACCAGGAGATATTATGAATAAAAATGGTATCTCTCTCAAAACTTATGTAGAAGGCCCCCTAAAGTTATATAAAAAACTTACCAATGGTTAATTATTTTCAAGGAAAATATTTTATTTCCAAGACGACATTTTCAATAGTTTTTAGGCTCCAAGTTCTTTACTTAATTTTTATCTTTTATATCCAAAAAAATATCTCAAATTTCATTTATTTTTAAAAAGTGGTTATTTCCAAAATCTAACAATAATCATGAAAAGCAATATTATATTATCTGTAACAAACATCTAACAAACGAAACCAATGTCCTTCATGTTTTCTTATGGCTAAAAGTACAAAAGTACAGGGTAGAACTAGAAAACGATGGAGTGAATGCCATATATTTTATTCCTATTATTTATTGCTAAATATTTTGTAATTTGCATTTGTTGCAGCTGATATCTCTGAAAATGTTAAGGGCACTTTATAGTAGTACAGGTGTCCCAAAAAACATGGGAATTCAGTGACTAATTGGATATCGTCTTTGTTATGAATCAGCATTGTAATACCTAATCTCAAAAGCCATAGTATTATTATGTCCATGCTAGAGTTTATTTTATGAAAAGGGTAAAACACTTTGAAGATATGTCTATAATGTCTCCGCAAGATGAACAGTGAAGACGGACAAGTTTACTCTGTTTGTATAATGAAATTTTCTTGTTTTACTAAGTACAACCGTATACAGTCAAAACATTAACAAACAAAATGTGAACATAGCAGACGAAACCCTTACAGATTACAACTTTCTCAGTAGGTATCACTATACTAAATCAAAGAATTATCTAAAAAGACGATATCGAATTCGTCACTGAATTCCCATGTTTGTTGGGACACCCTGTAGTTTAGTTGCAAATGAACTGAGATGTTACGACAAATTCAAATGTTCTAATACTTTATCTTTTGATACAGGGTGTTCCACGAAACATGAGAGTTGGTGAATAGTTTTGAATGTCTTCTTTCATATACTGTGTTAGATATTAAAGACTTTTCGCAGTTTAATTAGTTAAAAATTCCGATTTAACTATTTTTCCGATAAAAGTCTATCCACTTAACTTAGAATATCATATCAAAACTAAGCTAAGAACATTCCTGTTGCTCTTCCGAGTTCCCTAATAAATCAGTGCAGGGAGTTCTGAGTTATGATCGGACAAACAATCAAACAAACAGACAAACAGAGATTACAACTCTGCTAATCTACCTTGATGAGTAAATGCAGTTCATCAGATCTACTACTCCACCTGGATGAGTAAATGTAGTTCTACAAATCTACTACTCTACCTGGATGATTAAATGTAGTTCTACAGATCTACTAATCTACCTGGATGAGTAAATGTAGTTCTACAGATCTACAACTCTACCTGGATGAGTAAATATAGTTCTACAGATCTACTACTCTACCTGGATGAGTAAATGTAGTTCTACATATCTACTACTCTACCTGGATGAGTAAATGTAGTTCTTCAGATCTACTACTCTACCTGGATGAGTGAATGTAGTTCTACAGATCTACTACTCTACCTGGGTGAGTAAATGTAGTTCTTCAGATCTACTACTCTACCTGGATGAGTGAATGTAGTTCTACATATCTACTACTATACCTTGATGAGTAAATGTAGTTCTTCAATAAGTTCGCCCCAAACCATTGGTTCAAGGTTCTGACAGAGCATATACAAAACCATCCAGTCACCAAACTATGATAAATTTAAAGTTATAGATTCGATATTATATATCTACGCGATTCCTTTATTCATATAAATTTCTCATTACACAAACGACATATATATTGGAGGACCTATAGACCAATATTATGCTGATCGACATCCTTTACTATGCTTTTCTTTCTTATAAACTTGTCTGCCACTCACAGATTATTTATAAACTTACAACGAGGTAAATTCTGTTTGAATCAAAATACTTTTAGAAACATTTTTATCTCAAATTCAAAATCCATTGAAAAATATGTAGACTAACAAAAATGTAAAAAATAGCAAACATTTAATTAAAGGCTTTGATGAAATATCTGAGAATAAATGAAATACATAAAAAGATAATTTGTTTCTAAATAATAAAGTAGAAATCTAAAAGCAATGATTTGTGCAGTGTCATTGTAACTTTCTTATGCAAAAATATATAATTTTAAGAAACAAAAAATTGTAGATAAGCCATTGATAAGCCATCTTTGGCACATATTTTTAGATTGGGTCTCTGATATTGAAATAGTATATTCTAAAATAAACAATTATCCCCCCTCGTCACCTTCTTACAGTTATATCGTAATATATATATATATATATATATATAGAAGAATTAAAAATTGACACTTAATATTTTTAATTCAAAGTTATTGGAATTGAATCAATTAAGTTCTATTGTTGATCATAAAACTAATGTCAACTATAAAACTTATTATGATTGGTTTAGTATTTATTAAATAATATCAGTTTGTAGAAGTCATTTATACACACATTGTAAATTTTAATGTTTTCTATCAAATAAAAAAATTGTAACGATCAATAGCAGAGATGATATTAAGTTATACTTTGAAAATTTCGCGAATACTTAATCAATAATAAATAAACAAATATAAAAAAACATATTTTTGTAACTATTATGGTTCCTGCACCTGTGTGTGACGTGAGATATCATCCAACTGTTGGCTAAGTCCATGCTTGTGTGCTCCTTGCTTCCTAAATATTTAAACTTCTACAGGGTGACCAAATAAAAAGTGAGCACCTTGCTTCCTAGATAATCAATGTTCTACAGGGTGACCAAATAAAAAGTGAGCACCTTGCTTCCTAGATAATCAATGTTCTACAGGGTGACCAAATAAAAAGTGAGCACCTTGCTTCCTAGATAATCAATGTTCTACAGGGTGACCAAATAAAAAGTGAGTACTCAAAAAAGTGGGAAACGGGGTTTATGCCCTCAATATGCTTTCTCAAAACACTCAAAAATGTGAATAATAAAATGGAGTTTCAGATTCTAGAGATGGCTGCTTGTATTTGTCATTCGAAGCTTCATGATGTAAATATTAAAAACAAAATTTTAGAGTTCTGAAATAGCACTAAAACCAGATAAAAGCCATATTTTTTCCCCCAGGAATATCTGATTCCGTTAAAAAGACTGATTAACGTAATTTCAAGTAACCTCCCATTTATAGATTGGCTTCACAACAAAGCAAATTTACAGCAATCAACGCGTTTTAGACAGAAATACGACAATTTTTTCCTAAAGTATCCCATTTTCCGAGGCACACTTTTTTGGGTCATCCTGTAGGTGTTTAAAAATTTAAAAAAAAACGTGTCTCCATGCAACTTTTTGTTTAGTGATAATTTGATTTGTTAGGGGGCGTGATGGGTGTTATGGTCTAAAGTTCATAGTTCTGCTTCAAATTCATATGTTTGTCATAATTTTGTTTCAGATCCTTAAAAACTTATAAACCTCAAATTGCAAATATTTTTGAAAATAAACTTCAAGGGCGGATACAGAAATTTACTAGGGGTGAGCCAGCTCAGAACTTTTCTCTCTATTTTCCGTAAATCCCTCCGATCCTTCCGTTGATCCCTCCAATCCTTCCGTAGATCCCTCAGATCCTTTCGTAGATCCCTCCAATCCTTTCGTAGATCCGTCAGATCCTTCCGTAGATCCCTCCGATCCTTTTGTAGATCCCTCCAATCCTTCCTTAGATCCCTCCGATCCTTCCGTAGATCCCTCCAAACCTTCCTTAGATCCCTCCGATCTTTCCTTAGATCCCTCCAATCCTTCCGTAGATCCCTCCAATCCTTCCGTAAATCTCTCCGATGCTTCCGTAGATCGCTCCAATCTGCAGACATAATAATATTATGGCTTTTGAAATTAGGTATTACAATTCTAATTCATAACAAAGACGATATCCAATTCGTCACTGAATTCCCATGTTTTTTGAGACCCCCTGTACTTATACCTCGTTTATAATATTAATTGGAAGAACGCAGATAGCATCATGGTTCTGTATATTCCCTGTTGGTCCAAATCTAAATTTTGATAATAGAAATATTTTCATTATTAAATTTTACATTCCCGTGGTTCTACCAAGCTTCCCAATCAAAATTTGAGGCAAATCAGTCAAGGGTTTCTAAGTTATAGTCAGACATTCAAACGAACAAACATTTAGACAGACAAACATATCACGTTGATTTAACGGTTCTGTCAATATTCCAGAAAGATGTGTCTTTCGATCACAATTTGAACCATTTAACATAATTTGTTAGCGTTTTTCCTTTTATACATTTTTGTCGGCATATGCATTTTGAATGAAAATGTATAGAATTAAAAAAATCCGTAACGTGAATGATTATTGAATTAAAGACCAAAACACGTTTGATTTCAAATAGAAGAAACCGAATGCTACTCACTCTGTTTAGTCCGGGGTGATATATATATTTCTTCTTTACATATTATGTATGTATATAGACAAAACCAGGAAATACAAAATAAGCGTTATTTTAGCAATTATTCGTATTATACTTACTTTCTCATTGTGCACTTGGTCACTTTAGGAAATATCCTTGACATTGGATCAGGACGACCTATAGGGTCGTCTTCCATCAGATCTATTACTTGTAAACCATACGAACTGAACTCCCGTTCTAAAAAAACAAAAACAAATAATTGTTCATTGAATAATATTTATCGTGATGCATTCTAACGTTTTCTAAATTAAGATTGTGTTTATAATTTGTCAAATAATAAAACATTCTAGCTTGTAATATTAAATATTTTAAAACTAAACGTTTTTCTGAAACGCTATAACTCTTACTTTTAATTGTTGCTCTTTTATCGATTTTTTCGTGGATTTTGAAAAATGTAATTTTTAAGGCAAATTTTTAAATTTTGATCATCCATAAACCTACCCTGGGGTCATGTGAGTTGCCACAAAAGTTTTGGCTCGATCGGTTCATTTGCTTTGACGTTTATTGGATTCAAACAGACATCCAGACAAACAAACACATTTCTTAAAGGTATCATCTTTCGCGTAATGGGGCAGGATTTTTTAAAAATTGCAATGCCAGTGTGCTGAATTTATCATTTAAAAACGTAATAATTGCCGGAAGGGTCAAATGATGTGGGATGAAGGACCGTAAGGTTGTGGCTTATCATCTTATCGCTCCCGGAAGACAAAAAAGCGAAAATGTGGCATGGAGGGGGAAAATGTTGTGGCTTATGGTCGCCTGCCTTCCCCCGCTCCCAACATAAAAGTAAAAAAGAAAAAATGTATGTCTTAACAGGAAAATTTTAATCGAAGACCGAACTGTTAAATCAGTGGTAAAACTGTACAATTTCATCATTCATTATTTATGAAAGAAGACATTCTAAACTATTTACTAACTGTCATGTTTCGTGGGACACCCTGTAGCTTAAAACAACTGCAATGAATTATATCCCCTTGACATCATTGAAAAGAATTGAATTAGTCAGCACCGAAACCTGGTTTAATATTTCCAGCCTTAATGATTTGCAAACTAGCAAATTCATAATTAATGTTCTGCATTCTGTAGGATTTGCAGCATTCACATGTATAACTTTAATTAAAGGGATTGTTTGTTTTAAACTAGTTTTTAGTTAAAACTTTTTTTTGATGCAAAATTTTAACTTTTAATTGTCAGAAACCACATTCATAAAGAACTTTTTATTTTCAAAACTATTAAGACTATTACTATTATTATTATTATTACTTTTATTACTATTACTTTTATTATTATTATTATTATTGTTATTATAATTATTAATATTGTAGTATTATTATTACCTAGAAATAAATCGATGAAGACGATGTTAAAGATAACATTGAAGAGGTACACAAATCTAACCAGGAAAAGACGAACTCCCCACATATTACTGTTATTCATATTCTCCAATAGATACCTGTTCAGTTTTCAGTGTACAATGTATTGTACTTATCATTTAAAAACGTAATAATTGAGTCAAATGTTTAGCGATGCCAGACCTTACAGTTGTGGCTAATCATCTTATGGCTGCCGGAAGACAAAAAAGCGAAAATGTGGCATGGAAGGGGAAAATGTTGTGGCTTATGGCCACCTGCCTTCCCCCGCTCCCACCATAAAAGTAAAAAAGAAAAAAGGTGAAAATGTATGTCTCAACAGGAAAATTTTAATCGAAAGTCATAAAGACCGAACTATTAAATCAGCGGTAAAACTGTACAATTTCATCATTCATTATACCTTGCGAGAATCTTCTCTCTTGACTGTCGAACTCCTTTATCCAAAATAACATGATGCAGTCCTGATATTATATTCGCGATCTAAATAAAAATTTAATTTAAAAACCTCTTCATGCATACAGTAAGAACAATGAAACTGTGAAATGGGAGGACGACATTCAACCAATACTTAAGTATATTTGTGTTACGATGCTAATAGTTTTACTAGTAAGTGAAATGAGTCTGTTTACATTGCACAATTTCTGTGGCTCATGTTTATGGGACTATTTAAAGTTATAACGTAAGTCGTCTTCCTGCTTAAAGTTTTCTGGTTCTCACTCTATATTTATATGGAACACTTACGCAATGGTAACAGGAAACCCGTTCAAAAATATACATTTTCTTTTAGCATTTTAATTTTAGGATGAGGAAAAATTTTCTGTGTGCGGTATAAAAATTTTTTTTTACCCCCAAACTGTTTTCATGGCAGAAGTTTAAAGGTGTTAGGTCCCGTCATAAAAGGGAGAGACCGGTTAGGTAACGTATTTGAACCACAAGTGCAGTATACTAGAGATACATTTGATACCAATTAGACGTTTTTACGGTATCAATTACAAAATTTGTCTCTATAATACTGCACTCTCAGTTCAAATACGTTAGTCTCTCCCTTTAAAGTCTAATTCATTGTTTTAAACCATTAGAGTTACCTTCCCTCCCTCCCAGGTTTTATAGAGTAGATGAGGAAAGTAGAATAATCCAGCCTAAATAAATGATCAAATATGTGCTGTGTATATTGATTATATTCAGTTATATAGGATCTATTTTTGTCATCTGTGTACAGTACGAGTTTACAATTACAAATTGATGATTACAAGTATAAAGCAATTAGGTGAAAAATAGCTCTTGGCTGTTTTGATTATTTTTTCCACCTAATTTCAATAATGATAACAAATATTTCAACTAAATAGATTTAAGGAGAACTATCAGAGATCAGGGTGCGATTTTATCTTTTGACATGAACACAACAAATATCAAAGCATATTAAAACGTACCTAATTAGTTTTAGATTGTAAATTAGGAATTTGAGGCATGTAATGAGTTCCTTTAAATAAAAAAAAATATTATATTTTTCACCTGAAGAAAAAGCATGAATGAGACCCATTGATAATAAGCTTTATGTTTCTCTTCCGGTCCCTTTACATCCGATCTACTTCTAGTTGGGCCTACTCCAGGGTGTGCTGTAATATGCTCTACTCCTAGAGTAAACTATATTAGAACCTACTCCAGGGTGTGCTGTAATATGTTCTACTCCTAGAGTAAACTATATTAGAACCTACTCCAGGGTGTGTTGTAATATGCTCTACTCCTAGAGTAAACTATATTAGAACTTACTCCAGGGTGTGAAGTAATATGCTCTACGTCTAGAGTAAACTATATTAGAACCTATTCCAGGGTGTGCTGTAATATGCTCTACTCCTAGAGTAAACTATATTAGAACCTACTCCAGTGTGTGCTATAATATGCTCTACTCCTAGAGTAAACTATATTAGAACCTACTCCAGGATGTACTGTAGTATGTTCTTATCCTAGAGTAAACTATATTAAACCCTACTCCAGGATGTGCTGTAGTCTGTATGCAGATCTTCCATGCTAATCGGAAATATTGTGTAAATTCTTAGTGCTTATCTGAACAAGATTTTCTTATCGGAATCCTTATCGGGTTTGTGCATAAAAGACTGCTTATAAGAAAAAAATCACATTTAAGCAGGGTTTTTTGCATACTCAAATTTTCTTCAAATTTTCAGTATGCAAACGAGTATGCAAACCTGTATGCTCTTCCTTGAAGCAGCATTTTCTACATTTTTAAATCTGCATCCCGCAACTATTAGCTTGAACTACAGCTTGTAAGAATAAGATGCTAATCTTGCAGCTTATAAGAACAGATGAAGCAATAATTACTGCTTATAAGAATAGAAGCAAATATTACTGCTTGCAAGAAAAGAAGCAACTTTTACTGCTTAAAAGGGCTCATCTGCATCCCTCGACTAGGCA